GGGGTGCGGCTTGCTGTACCTGACAGCTCTGCCTGCTCTTTGAGGAGGGCAGGTGGTTGCGTCGGGAAGGCTAGTTAACCAGTCCTGACGGCAGGCAGGGCCGGGCCCCGGTGCCCCCTTGCCCCTCGCGCCTTCCTCAGCCTGCACCACCTGCTGTGGGCCCCTGGAGGCTCCATCCCAGGCTCTCCCTGGGGCGCTGCTGGGACTGTATGCACCTGCCTTTTTGCCTCTCCCGCTACAGTCTTTGGGACGGTTGCACTATTTAGACTCTCAGCTGTTTATTGCAGATTGGTGAGTGCAGTGGGGCTGAGAAGGTAGAGCAAGCAGTTGGGGGAGCCTATCCTTGATTTCCTGAAGTCAGGATCTCCTCCCCTTGGTCCTGGGGTCTACCTGGTTTTCCAGCAGGCCCTGCCTGGGAGGTTCCCGGAGTGTGGGAGACCAGAGCTGGCACCCTCACCAGACTCATGGGCCCCTGAGGTGGGGCAGTTACAAGTGCTTCCCACCAGCCGGGGCCACCACCTACCCACTTGTCAGCTGCTGGCTCTTAGCAGCCCGAGGCTTTGGCCACTGCCGGGGACCCAGCAGACACTGCCCAGGACACCTGATGCGTTCCCTTTTGCCTGGACCCTGTCCTCCGGCCTGGGACCATACTACTTGAATCACTACATCCGATTGCCTCAGTGGCAGAGTGGGGTCCATTGCTCTCTCCTTGGGCTTGACAGAAAGGTCAAGAGCCCAGGGGCAATTTCTTGGTTCCCCAGCCCAGTCCACCTGAGCAAAGGACCTGCCCTGGCAATTTCCCCCTCCCCAGTTTCTCAAGGGAGGCCCCACAGAGCCCGAGTGCCTGAAGCTCCTGCCTGGAAGCTGCCCCCGGACTTTGGACATTTCCAGGTTGGGTTGTCAACTCGGCAGGCCTCGCTCCAGAGAGTCCGTCAGGCTGCTTCTGTTCTGTCATCTTGTTCCTTCGATCAGTGCTGTTGATGACAGGTCGTCTTTAATAAATCATGTGTTCTTTGCAAAGGGCGCTGGTGCTGTGATGGTGCAACGCCTGTCGGACCAAGGGGCAGGAAAGCAAGGACTGATCCAAGAACAAGGCCAGGAACACCCCCTTCGAGGAGCCTCTTCAGCTCTTTCCTGGCTGAGGGGTGGACGGTTGTGTGCTGGGGATGGCGGTGCTGCAACCATGAATACACAGCAAATTATCTGTTAGATTTCAGAAAGCCTTAGGCATCTCATTACATGTAGAAAAAGCATTTACGCTTTCATGCTAAAATTCTAAGCGAATCAGGCGTAGAATGAATGTACCTCAGTACAAAAAAGGCTCCTTATGTGTGACTCCCGTAGCTGGTGAGTATACAACAAGAAGTTGAACACTTTTCATCTAAAATCAGGACAAGCCAAGGGTGCCTGCTCTTGCCACTTCTAGTCAACATAGTGCTGGAAGTCTTAGCCAGAGCAATTAGGAGAAACAAGGAGATAGAAGGCATCCAGAAAGGGAAGGAAGAAAATGAAGTCTTTGCTGACAATGGGTCTTCTGTCTAACAAACCTATTTGCACCCACAAAACCACTGGAACTAATGAGTTGCAAGGTACAAAGTCAACGCACTGGTCAGTAATGTTTCTATAAAGATCAGCTTATCAAAAGACATGACCTCGTGTACAATAGCTACAAACATGGTAATGATGGATAAGCCTAGTGAAAGATGTGAAAGACCTGCGTGCTGAAAACCATAAGACTGGTGAAGGCAGTTGAAGAAATAAATACATGGGAAGACAGCCTATGTTTATGGAGCTGGAATACAAATACATGGGAAGACAGCCTATGTTCATGGATCTGAAATACAAATACATGGGAAGACAGCCTATGTTCATGGATCTGGAACAGCTATGCTGTCAACTGCCCATCCTGCCCAAAGCAATCCTGGATACATTTCCTATCAAATTTCCAGTGTCATTCTCCACAGAAACAGAAAAGGTCCTAAAACTTGCAGGAAGCTGTAGGGAGCTGCAGACACTAAGGCAATCTTTAGTGAAAAGCACAAGGCTGGAGGCATACTTGGCCAATTTCAAAATATGCCAGAGGCCTACAAAAAGTGCATGGAAAAGGTGCATGGATTAAAAAAAACTTGGACTTTTTTTTTTTTTTTTTTTTGACAGAGTTAATAGAGAGAGAGGAAGGTCTTCCTTCCATTGGTTCACTCCCTAATTGGCTGCTACGGCCGGCGCTGTGCCGATCCGAAGCCAGGAGCCAGGTGCTTCTCCTGGTCTCCCATGCGGGTGCAGGGCCCAAGGACCTGGGCCATCCTCCACTGCTTTCCCAGGCCACAGCAGAGAGCTGGACTGGAAGAGGTGCAACCGGGACCAGAACCTGGGTCCCATATGGGATGCTGGTGCTGCAGGCGGAGGATTAGCCAAGTGAGCCACGGCACTGGCCCAAGACAGAACTTTTTCAAAATACTGTTTTGGGGGTTGTTTGAGAGGCAGAGGAGGGAGGGAGTGCTCCCATCTGCTGATGGGTACTGATGGCCATGCGTTAGCAAGAAGCCAGGATTGAGAGTTGGGACAAGGCTGAGACTTGAGCCCAGGCTCTCATACGGATGGGATGGAGGCAGTCCCCAGCAGCATGATCACCAGTAAGCCAAACATTTATTTCCCACTTTCATGAGTTTTTTGAATTGCCCTCATATTATAATGCTACAGTGAAACAGCATGATACTGGTATCAAAATAGACACATCAGCCAATACCGCAGAAGAGAGCCAGGAAGTGAACTCATTTGCTGTCAACACCATGGGAAAGGGACAGTTTCTTCAATAAGGGGTCATGGGAAAACAGTAGACACATACAGAAGAATGAAATTGGACCCTTCCCCCACATCATGTTCAAGAGTGAATTCCAGGCCCTGGGGGCTGGGGCTGTGGTGGAGCAGGTAAAGCCATTGCCTGTGACCCTACATCTAACAGGGGCGCCAGTTTAAGTCCCAGCTGCTCCACTTCCGATCCAGCTCCCTACTAACACCTGGGAAAGCAGTGGAAGATGGCCCAAATCCTTGGGGCCCGGCACGCACGTGGGAGACCCAGAAGAAGCTCCTGGCTCAGGCTGGCCCAGCTCTGACTCTTGTGGTCACCTGGGGAGGGAACAAGCAGATGGAAGAGATCTCTAATGTATCTCTTGTCAATAAATAAATAAAGCACTGGAACTATTGGAGAAAAGCAAGGGAGAAGTTTGCAGCCTCGGTTTGGGCTTGACACCAAAAGGTGAGTCAATTAGCAAATACAGATGTCACACTTTTTTTTCTTTTTTTTTTTTTTGACAGAGTGGACAGTGAGAGAGACAGAGAGAAAGGTCTTCCTTTTGCCGTTGGTTCACCCTCCAACCGGCCGGCGCACCGCGCTGATCCGATGGCAGGAGCCAGGTGCTTCTCCTGGTCTCCTGTGGGGTGCAGGGCCCAAGCACTTGGGCCATCCTCCACTGCACTCCCAGGCCACAGCAGAGAGCTGGCCTGGAAGGGGGGCAACCGGGACTAGAACCCAGTGTGCTGGCACCGCCAGGCGGAGGATTAGCCCAGTGAGCCGCGGCGCCAGCCTATATGTCACACTTCTTAAAAACCTGCTGCAGGGGGGCCAGCGCCGTGGCACAGGTAGGTTAATCCTCCCCTTGCTGTGCAGGCTCCCCATATGGGTGCCGGTTCAGGTCCTGGCTGCCCTTCTTCCAGTCCAGTTCTCTGCTGTGGCCTGGGAAAGCAGTAGAAGATGGCCCAAGTCCTTGGGCCCCTGCACCCGTGTGGGAGACCAGGAAGAAGCTCCTGGCTTTGGATCGGTACAGCTGCGGCCGTTGTGGCCATTTGGGGAGAGAACCAACAGAAGTCCTTTCTCTGTCTCTCCCTCTCACTGTAACTACCTGTCAAAAGCTTAAAAAACAAAACAACAAAAACTTGCTGCAGAACAAAGGAGACAATAGAGAGACAGCCCAGCCTGTGGAATAGGGAAATGTATTTGCAAACCATTTATCAAGTGGTCAGTATTCCAAAAGGAACTTTAACTCGAAAGCAACGGAACAGCATGATTTGAAGATGAACAGAGGACTGAAGAGACACTTCTCAAGACTCACAGCCGGTCAGCGCTGAGCATCAGGAAATGCACATTCAAACCAGGGTGACGGGGTGGGCGTGAACCTCAGTTCAGGATGTCTGGGCTCCGTATTGGAATGTTATTCCCAGCTCTGGGACCCGACTCCAGCTTCCGTGGCAGGCAGGGGTGGTGGCTCCTAAACTCCCTGTTCCCAGCTGTGAGCATTTGGGAGCCAGGAGAGGGGGACCCTCCTTGTGTGGTTTATCAACTTCACCTGTCAGAATGTTACCAAACAGAAGGTAGGTATTGGTGAGGATGTGGAGACAGGGGCCTTTATGGGTTCCAGAGGACCCAGCAGTCGCACTCCTGGGTGTGTGTCCCAGGGGTCTGAAACCAGTATGGCGAGGAGATGGCAGTCTGTTCAGGGAGGTATGGTGCTGCTTGACCACAATGCGGAACCAGACGTCCATCAGTGCATGAGTGGATAAAGAAAATGCAATTGATATGCACAACGGAATACTGATCAGTCTTAAAAAAGGACGTTTTTTAAAGGTTTATTTTAATTTGAAAGTTAGACAGAGACAGGCTTTCCATCTGCTGGTTCACTCCCCAATTGGTTGCGAAGACTGGAGCTGAGCTGATCTGGAGCCAGGAGCTTCCTGGTCCCCTACGTGGGTGCGGGGGCCCAAGGACTTGGCCATCCTCCATTGCTTTCCCAGGCCACAGCAGAGAGCTGGATCAGAAGTGGAGCAGCCTGGACTTAAACCGGCGCCCATATGGGATGCCGGCGCCACAAGCCGGGGCTTTAACCCACTGTGCCAACGCGCTGGTCACAGGAAGTGAGGCAGGCCCAAAGAGACAAAAACTGCCTGAACTCAGCCACGGACGGACGCAAGCAATGGACCTCGCAGAAGCAGGGTACCGTGGTGGCTCCTGGGCGGGGAGCGGGGAGCGGGCAGATGTTGGCTCCGGGCGAAGCTGCAGCTGGGAGGAGAAGTGTCCGAGGTGCGATGGGCACGTGGCGACCAAGGTAGTGATAAGGGACGGTTCCAAACCGCCAGGAGAGAAATCGCCGGATGTGCTCGTCCCCCAAAATTGGTGTTTGAGGCCAGGGCTATGCTAATCAGCTTGATCTAATCACCCGCGCCGTGTCCACTGTCAAAACATCACGTGGCACCCCGTAAAACACACAGTCATGTTTGGTCAATTTATAACTAAACACTGGACACCCACAGACGTCATAAGACAAGGCGCCCATATCAGTGACAGTCGTGTTTTTCCACAGTCGAGATGGTCAGCGCAGGGCCAACGCCGGCCTCGGGTGGGTCCCGGGTGCACGCACCGCGGCCCCGCGCTCGGACTCTGACCCGCGCCGTGGTGGTCAAGAGGACGCTCGGGTCCTCGGTCCCTCCGCGAGGAGCCGCGGCGAGAACCGGCCCAGAGCTTGGCCGGCCGAACTCCCTGCGCAGGCGCAGAGCAGGTCCCCCCCCACCCGCGCACAGGCCCCGGGGCGGGGGCGGAGCCAGGCCCGGTGGCGACCAATGGGGAGCGGCAGCGATGGCGCCACGCCCCCTCCTGCTCGCGTCTTAAAGGGGCAAAGAAAGGGCGCGGGGTCGCGCTCCTGAGGCCGGGCTTGCTTTCCCTGGGTGCTGGGTGCCGGGTGCCGAGCCCTAGGGAGCGCTTCTGAGCGCAGGGGAGGACGGCGTGCCCTCCACGGCCCCGGCCCCTGGCGGGCTCCGCGGAGCGGCTCCTCTAAGAGCCCCGCCCGGCTGACCACTCTCCAGCTCGGCCATGCGGACGCTGCGGGCCGCTCTCACCCTGACGCTGGGCGCGGGGCTGGGCGCCGTCGCCGAGAGCTGGCGGCGCCAGCGAGCGGACGCGCGGCCGGCGCCCGGGCTGCTGGGCCGGCTGCCAGTGCTGCCCGTGGCCGCGGCGGCTGAGCTGCCCGCCCTACCCGGGGGCGCGGGGGCCCGCGCGGCGGGCGAGCTGGCCAAGTACGGGCTGCCCGGGGTGGCGCAGCTCAAGAGCCGCGAGTCGTACGTGCTGTGCTACGACGCGCGCACCCGCGGCGCGCTCTGGGTGGTGGAGCAGCTGCGGCCCGAGCGGCTGCGGGGCGCCGGCGACCGGCGCTCGTGCGACTTCCGCGAGGACGACTCGGTGCACGCGTACCACCGCGCCACCAACGCCGACTACCGCGGCAGCGGCTTCGACCGCGGCCACCTCGCCGCCGCCGCCAACCACCGCTGGAGCCAGAAGGCCATGGACGACACCTTCTACCTGAGCAACGTGGCGCCCCAGGTAGGGCCGGGGCTGCAGCGGCGCGCGCTGGGGTCCCGCACCCCCGGCCAGGCGGGGCACGTGGCGAGCTGGCGCGCTCGGCCTGCCCGGCCCCTCCCTCGCAGCCCTGCCACCTGTGCCTGGAGCTTGGGCTTCCTTCTCCCCTCGCGCACCCCCCAGGGCCTGGGGCGGCCCCGGGACAGGGAGAAGCTGAGCCCCCCTCCTCCCAGGTGCCCCACCTCAACCAGAACGCCTGGAACAACCTGGAGAAGTACACCCGCAGCCTGACCCGCACCTACCAGAACGTCTACGTGTGCACCGGGCCGCTCTTCCTGCCCAGGTGGGCTTCCCAGCCAGCCGGGCCAGGCTCGCCCGGGGTCCGGGGCAGCACTTGTCCACCCTGAGGTCTCAGCGAGCCTGTCCTGTGTCCCCGCCGAGGGCCCTGCACGCCCCTTCCCTAGCCAGACCCGCGGGCACCCCCTGGACTGTCCCCTCTGCTGTCCCCTCTGCCACCACGCTGAAGCCCCTGCAGGCCCACAGCCCCCACGGCCTCGCCGCGCAGCCTCCCAGCCCCGGGTGCTGAGCTGCCCTGGGCACGCACCGCGAGGCCGGAGGTCACGGCTGGCAGCCGACGGCGGAGCCTGTGCACTTGGGATGGAATCCCGCCTTAGCACCAGTCCCCTGGCACCATGGACAAGCGGCCTCAGTGGGGACGGGACCTGTGACGTCACGGTCACCAGGGGGACTGGGTGGGTCGGCGGCAGCACGTGCGTAGCCAGGGCCTGGGCCACTGGGAAGCTTTCAATAGCAGGTGCCTCCCAGGGCCACGGAAGTGGGGGAGCGTGCCACAGCGTGGCACCTGCTCTGTGCTGGGCCCGGGGCTGGGAGTTCAGGCACTGTCCTTGACTGCTGACCTCTAGGGAGGAGCCAGAGTGACCGCATGCCCACGAGGACAGACGAGCATTCAGAGGCCCGATTCCACCAGCAGCATTTATTGCCTCCCGCTCTGCCTGACCCAGAGGGCGAGGGGCCCTGCCCAGGAGGGGCCAGGCAGGGGCAGCAGTCTCACAATGTCCTGCGGGTGGGCAGAAGCTGGAGGTCAGGTCAGGGTGGCTTCCTGGAGGAGGTGGGCATGGCACTAACCAGGACCCCGGCCGTCCTGCAGGACGGAGGCCGACGGGAAGGCCTATGTGAAGTACCAGGTGATCGGCAAGAACCACGTGGCGGTGCCCACGCACTTCTTCAAGGTGCTCATCCTGGAGGCGGCGGGTGGGCAGATCGAGCTGCGCTCCTACGTGATGCCCAACGCGCCCGTGGACGAGGCCCTGCCGCTGGAGCGCTTCCTGGTGCCCATCGAGAGCATCGAGCGGGCCTCGGGGCTGCTCTTCGTGCCCAACATCCTGGCGCGGACCGGCAGCCTCAAGGCCATCGCTGCCGGCGGCCAGTGAGGGCGGGGCCGAGGGACCGCGCTGGGGCGGGCACAGTAAAGGCGGCTGCTTTTGGAGACGAGTCCCAGCTGTGTGCACGCCGGGTGACCCGCGGCTGTCCCGCCACTGTCCGGACCCAACGGAGCCTTCAGCTGGGCTGGGCGCCAGCTCGGGCGAGCCCAGGCTGCAGGGCGGCCAGGGAGATGAGTATGGCTTCCTGGAAGACAAGTGTGGCGTGGGCGGGGCCCCGGGAGGTCGGACCGGATCCGCCAGGCGGGCTGCCCCCTGCTCCGTCCACACCACTCCAGATGCGGCAGGTGCGTGTGAGGCCGGGAGGGGGCGCTGCCAGGGCTGCAGGCGGCAGGCAGCTCACCGGGCCAGCAGGAGCGCCCAGGCCCCCACTCTGCACTCCCAGGCTGTCCCTGCGGCAGACCTGTGGTGCTAAGCCCCCCCTCCCCCACCACACAGCCTGGCCGGCGGCGGCACGCATGCAGGCTCACCTCGGTGCGGATGGTGCGGCTGCCCTGGCCGGGGCAGGTGTTGACGTACAGGTCAAAGAGGACGCTGGGTTCAGCCACCTCCAGGTTGGGGTCGGCATCTACCGCGGCTTCCAGCCCTTGGAGGCCGCCGAACACCACGAGGGCATGCCTGGCACCGAGGCAGAAGTCACCGGAGGGCGTTCACCCAGTGGCGCACTCCCCGCCCACATCCCCCCACCCCTGCAGCCCCTACCGGAAGCTGGGCAGCTGGGCGGAGGCCACCTCGGAGCCTCGCTCCGACGTCCCGATGGTCAGGTCGTAGCCATCCTGGAAGGGGGCCTCGGCAAACACAGCACCTGGGGGCGAGGCCGGCTCAGGGGGGGCTCCTGCTCCCCGCAAGCCACAGCCTCTTGGCTGTGTGTATGCTGGGGGGAGGGCGGAGGGGGAGCTCAGGCGGAGACAGGAGTCGCACGCTGGCCTCCCGCCCTCCTGGGAAGTCCAGGGCTGGGCTTGGCTGGGCAGGAGCCCCGAGAGCCATGTGTGTCTGGCCCTCTGTCCCCATTCCCAACGCCACAGCAGACACTATGAATCCATCATGATGCTCCCCCTGGAGGTGCTGGGCGGTGGTCCGGGCGGCCCATCCAGGGAGCCTGAGGCCCGGGCACAGGCTGGCAGGACCCCTGTCTTACTGAGGCAGGAGGCCAGGCGGACAGTGTAGCCCCAGTAGAGGCCGGCTTTGGTGCGAGGGTCCTGCGCCGACACCACCTTCCCACGGTAGGTCTTGCACTCTGGAAGAGAAACAGAGGCTGTGAGGGCCGGGTGGGGGCCCGGGAGCTGGGAGGAGGGGGTTGGAGCCCCCGGGGCCAGGAAGTCCCAGGTACCTGGGAGCTGCTTCTGGCTTAGCTGCACGGTCACCCGAAGTCCCGGCTCCAGGTTCCGGTCTATCTTCACCTCCTGGGGAGAAACCAGAGGACTGCGTTGCCTCCTGCGACCAGCAGGGGTCGCCACTTCTCCAGCCTCTTGCTAGGGGCTGGCGACTGACCCTGGGGTCCAGGTCAACCTAGCACCGTCCCAGGATGAAACGGGCCGGACCTGCTCACAGACCACTCGTCTGTGAGAGGTGGACTCGGGCCTGGCAGAGGAACCCACTTGGTACCCCGTGTCCGGGCCGGCCACTGCCCCTCCTGGCCTGGCGGGGAGTGAGTGCCGTGGAGGGTAGCCACTGTTGCTACTTCCTTCCCTTCCTCCTTCACCAGGGTCTGCCGCCTGCCAGCTGCGAGCGCTGATCTCTGCTCCGTTCTGAGCACCCTCCCCGACCGTGTGAACAGGTGGGGCTTCGTGCCCCAGGACCGCTGGGTGACAGGGACCTGTTTCTGGCTGCGTCAGTGGTGAGCCCGAGGACCGGCCTTCACTGACCTACCAGCTGCCTGTGTGCGGGGGCGGGAGGGCAGCAGCAGATGGCCCAGCGGCCTGGGTCCCAGCACCCACGTGGGAGAGCGGGTGGGGCTCCTGGCCCAGGCCTCGCTGACACGCCCTCTGGGGTGTGACCAGAGGTGCCAGAGCTGCCTCTGTGTCTCCCCCATACACAGATCAATCTTTCCCGGCCTCCTCGAGTCCCCTTTGTGGGGAACTCCCAGGCGGGGCCTGAGCCCACGCCCCCACCATGCCTACCTTCTTCATGCCGCAGTTGACGAAGGAGCCGTGGCCTGGCCGGGTGGGCCGGTCCACCACGACGCCCTCACGGAACTCGGCCTCCTCGTCCTGCCGCATGTGGTGGGGGCTGTCCAGGGGGTTCAGGAGCCCTGGGGCGGGGGGACAGGCGGTGCCCTGGGTCAAGTCCGGGCTCTGCTCAGGCCGGCCTCCCAGTGGGCCAGCCAGTGGCTGAGCGGGCGTGGGAGGCGGGGGCCAGGTGTACCTGCGAACTGCAGATCCTGGTGCTTGGGGAAGAATGCCTTCCTCAGGTACCTGGCCAGGAAGGCAGATGGCAGAGGTTCCGGGGGCGGCCACTCCCACCGCCCCCTCCCCACGCTCAGGGAAGTCGCCGTCTTACTGTGGACACTCCAGGTACTGGAGGATGCGGGCCAGCTGGACGCATGCCTGCCCCTTCTTGCCCACTCCCTTGAACTCCCCCTCGACGGTCCTGGAGGGGAGGAAGGCCGCGGCGTGGGGCGAAGCGGCCGCTGTGACGCTGCGCCCCACGTCGAGCCCCACTGCTAAAGCCCCTGGGAAGGCAGTGGAGGATGGCGCAAGTGCTCGGGCCCCGCCGTCCGTGTGGGAGACCCGGCTGGAGTCCCAGGCTCCTGGCTTCGGCCTGGCCCGGCCCCTGCTGCTGTGGCCCTCTGGGGAGTGAGCCAGGGCACAGAAGGGCTGTCTCCTCCTCTCTCAGCCTAAGGGCTGCCCCCTTAAGAGCGCCTCCCACCGCATCTGACCTCTGCCGTCAGGGCCCCTGCTCCTCCCCGGGCCGCCTGCCCGCGGGGTGGCCGCTCACTTGGCATCCTGGCCCTCCTCATCGAACACCACGACCTCGTCCACGCAGAAGATGGCGCAGGCCCTGGCAATCTGGCCAGCCAGGTAGGTGCGGAGCTCTGGCGACTGGGCGTTGTCCAGGATGGAGCCCGGCAGGGCCACACTCAGGGTGTAGGGCCGTCCTGGCCAAGAGACGGTACCCCTGGTCAGCCTGGGGCCACGGCTCCCCGCGCTGCACCCCACCCCGTAGCGCCCCAGGGAGAGCAGCAGGGGCCTCAGTCTGCCCGGGGAGAAGTGGACAGAGTGGCCTGCAAGGCCCCTCTGGGCGGGGCAGAAGTTACGCAGCTGGTCGGGGCGCCCGTGCCCCCGCGGCAGTGACCGGGCAGGTCCTGCGCATGCGCAGTGTGCGTCCCCGGCTCACCCCGGTCCTCTGCGCGCGTGGCTGCTTCCTCCTCCTGCTGCTTGGCCGCCGCCTCCTGGGCGCGCTGCCGCTCCAGCTTCTTCACCATCTTCAGATCTTTCCACTTCTTTTTCTCCTCTTTCTCTGGGTGAGAGGACATCTTGATTGGGAGGAGGGAGGAGGCTCCGTGGGTCGGCCTGGGTGAGCACCAGAGCCTCCCCGGCTGGGGTCCGGTGGGACCCAGGGGGGACACGGCCGCTTCCTTCCCCAGGGGCCGGTGGAGAGGTCTGGGGAAAGGCGAGCGGGCTCTGTCCCCACCCCCGCCCTGACTTACTCTGCTGCTTCCATTTCCGCCACTCCACTCGGCCGTGTTCGCCCTGCAGCAGGGGTGGGCGTGGGTTAGGAGTGTGAGGCTGGGGCAAGCCTGGGACCCGCATTCTGCAGAGAGCCACGGCGGGCGTCCTGCTCACGTGCGCCCTGGGACAAGCAGGGGGTGGCTCCTCCGCCCACCTGGGAGATCGGGATGGAGCTTCAGGCCCCTGGCTGTGGCCTGGCCTCAGCCCGGCTGCTGTGGGCATTATTTCCAGTCCACGAAAATAATAAACCAACAAGCATTAAGCGCGTGAGGCTGCGAGGAAGCCAGGCGGCAGGAGGGCGGGACCCGGCGGATCCCCAACACCTGGGGCCAGCCTGGCGCACAGTGAGCGAGCGAGAAACGGCTGCGCGAATTCCCACGAGGCAGGGGCCCGCTTCCCGCCTCCAGCCCCGGCCACAGCACCGCCGCGCCCCCAGCCTCTGCTGCTCCCCCGGCCTGCGAGCACGCGGCTCCGGGCACCGGACCAGCGGGCAGCAGAGCGCGGGAGGGGCGGCCCGGCGCCGCCGCAGGCCCCTCCACGCGTCGCTCTCACGCCGCAAGCCTGCCCCCCCGGGCCGGGGTCCCCCCAGCCCGACACCCACCGGGCCGCACGGCCGCTTCCGCACGCGCTCCGCCATGTTCCGCCGCACTGGACACGCCCCTGCCAATCAGGCCCTCCTCTTCCGGCCACACCTCCACCGCGCGGTCCAATCGGAGAGAAAAGCGAGAGGCGCACTGGACACGCCCCTACCAATCAGCCCCTTCTCTTCCAGCCACACCTCCACCGCGCGGTCCAATCGGAGAGAAGGGCGAGCGCGGGGGCGTGGCCGGGCTGCGGCGGGAGCTCCGCGGGAGGGGCGGAGCTAGTGGCCGGGCCGGGTGGGTGCCCGCGCGGACAGGGTCTGGGGTTGTCCTGGACCCCCCGACGGCCCAGGAGCCACCCTCCACGTCGGGGCGAGCTCCAGCTGGAAGTGACCCTACAGACCTTTCACTCCAGTTCTTTTGTGAAGATGTGTTGGTTTACTCTTTGGATTAACACTTTTTTTTAAGCAGTCTCAGCTTCAAGGAAAATCGAGCGGACAGCACAGGGTCTCCGCTAACGCCATGCTCCGGCTGCCACACGGTGACAGCTGACGAACAACACGATTCATCACCGGCTCGGGCTGTGGTCCACAGGGTGTCAGCACAGGTCTGCTCTCTGACCCCGGGCTCCCTCCCAGGCCCTGGCAACAACTCATCGTTCTTGTCTACAGCTTCGCCTTTTCCAGAATATTCGTTGAAGCCGCAGAGTACGCAGCCTTTTCAGATTGGCTTCTTTCTTTCCTTTACGATTTATTTATTTGAAAGGTAGTGCTACAGAGAGAGGGAGGGTCAGAGAGGGGTCTTCCATCCGCGGGTTCACTCCCCAAATGGCCTCGACAGCTGGAGCTGGGCCGACCTGAAGCCAGGAGCCAGGAGCTTCTGCCAGGTCTCCCACGCAGGTGCAGGGGCCCAAGGACTTGAGCCATCCTCCACTGCTTTCCCAGGCCACAGCAGGGAGCTGGGGCAGCCAGGACTCAAACCAGTGCCCATCTGGGATGCTGGCACCACAGGCAGTGGCTTAACCCCCTGCCCCACAACACTGGCCCCAATAAATACGCCTTTATAAAAAATGTAAAAACACCTTAAACTTTTCTAATTAAAACAGATTTAGTAACAGTTGATATTTCAACGTAAAATTCCAAGTCCATATGCCAGACTCTGGAGTATTTCCAATGTCTTCAAGACACACAAATACGCTTTGGCTATCTGTCGCCCCACACTCAAGGGTAGCATTTTAATTGCTGTGCCAAAGCCCTGCTCCTAACCGGTGTCTTAACCAAACGACAAATACCCATCCTGACGCTAACCGGGTCGCACAATTCACCGCATCCCAACAGTACCCAGCCATGCGGAATCCAGATGAAGGGCTGGGGCCCGCGAGGCTGCCTCCCTGGACGCCGGCAGCTAGGGCTCCCTGGCCGCTGCACCCCGTCCCCCTCGGGCTCATCAGTGAGCGACTCGCGAAACCCAGGAAAGTGCTGTACGCAGGATTACGGTTTTATTACCCAGAATGCAACTCTGAAAGGGCCAAACAAAACAGGTGCCCCGGGGCTGGCGTAGCACGGTGGGTTGAGCCACCACTTGCAATGCTGCCAGCCCATGTGAGAGCGCCGGTTCAAGTCCCAGCTGCTACTTCGGATCCAGCTTCCTTCTAACGCGCCTGGGAGGCAGCAGAGGATGGCCCAAGCACCTGGGTCCCTGCCATCCACGTGAGACCGGGATGGAGTGCCGGGCTCCTGGCTTCAGCTGGCCCAGCCCCGGCTGTTGTAGACATTTGGGGTGAACCCAAGTTCTTGGGCCACCTTCTGAGGATAGAATATCTCTTCCCTGTCGCTACCTTTCAAGTAGATACACATAAGTAAACTTATTTTTAAGTCTGCGGCCAGGTCTCCCCTGTGGGCTCACTGCTGAGCCTCTCAGACACTGAGCCTGGGAACTCCCACAGGGGCCAAACGCCCCCACCCAGGTAGTTTCCCAACACCACCTGCTCCTATCAGTTCCCATCACATGCACGCCAGGAACAAAACCCACAGCCTTGCTCCCCAGGGCATCTCCGGGACAAGCGCTGGTGCTGCGCTCCCAAATCTCGGTGCCCTGGGCAGGTGCAAGGCGCTGGGGCCGCCCCGGGGCTCCCCGCCTTGTACAACGCAGACACCCAGGGACTGAAGGGTGCTCCAGGAGTGCGCGCAGACATTAGCTCCTCCTCCTGGCCATGCCTCCCACCCATGGGGAGGTGCCTGCCGCACTGTGGCCCCAGCCCCGGAACCATCAGATGGACAGAGGCTGAGGATGCAGATGGCCGCAACAGCCCGGGCTGGGCCAGAGCAGGGAGCCTCGTCCTGGTCTCCCCACGTGTGGCGGACCAAGCTCTTGGGACGTTATCCGCTGCCTCCCTGGACACACCAATAGGAAGCTAGACCGGAAGTGCAGCAGCTGGGACCAGAACCGGCGCTCTGCCAGGGGACGTGGCCGTCCCAGGCAGGCCCGCCCCGCTGCGCCACACACCAGCCCCCTAGGGCTCCATTTTACCCACAAAGGGACATTTGTGCAAGGGGGTGGGGGGACCGGAGGCTCTCCAAGGCTCCTCCCCAGCCCTCACCAGAGCGGGGAAGCCGAGAGACGCAGCCAGAGAGAGTGCAAATAAGTTAGAGCTTTATTGCGCACGGAAATTATTGGAGACGGAGGCCCCGCCCACGGTCCAGGCCAGACAGGGAAGGGGGGAGGCGAGGCCGCGCCGGCCAGGGCCAGGGCAGGGCTGGGACCCACAGCCCCTCCTCCAAGGCCCGAGAACTGGCTGGGCAGGCCCCGGCTGCCCCCCTCTCCAACCCCGGGCAGGGCAGGCACTTGTGGGGAGCCGCCGGCCGACTCCGCGGTGGGGGGAACGCCGGGTGTGGCGGGGGAGGGTCCCCGGGACCACGGACCCCCGGGCGGGAGCCAGGCTCCTCCGCTCAAGGCCTCAGCTCTGCCTTCCACTTCTGCAGCTTCTCGTCCATGGCGCGCAATGTGGACTCGTCCTGCAGGGACGCGGCTCCGTGGGACCCCGCCCACGCTCCCGGGAGGCGGCAACCCCGCCCCGCCATGCCCCGCCCTCACCTTCACAAAGCAGAAGCGGATGTAGTGGTCGAAGTGCTGCTGCTGGGGCTGGCTGAAGAAGATGGACACGGGGATGGCCACCAAGCCCTGCGGGAGGACAGCGGCTCTCAGCTCCCGGACAGCCCCTCCCAGAGCCATACCCGGGCAGGGGAGACCCCCAGGCCTGTCACCCAAGCCCCTTCTCGTGTCCATGGAGGCGGCGGAAGCAGAGGGCGTGGCGGGGGGACCACGCAGCAGGCAGGGCGGGGCCAGAGAGGACAGAGGCTTTGGCATCACGGGTCAGCGCTGGGCGGACCTCGCAGGAACAGGCCAACTCCTCCACGCACAGACGGGATGACTGACACCCAGACGGGGCAGGAAACCCTGCCGCCACCACACGGCCCCCTTGTGCAACCAGGAGCTCCCCGAAGCAGGTGGAATCCTACACCGGGGTTCATGCCAGGGGCTGGGCTGGACTCTGGCCCATCACAGTGCACACCCTGTGCAACTGTCCACGGCGGCCCACCTTGTTCTTGATCATCCACTTGACGAAACGTCTGTCGTAGGGCTCATCCGCAGCACCGGGCAAGTCGGGCATCTTGCTCTCTGGGGGGTGAGGGCCACGCTGAGCCTTAGGCGCCCCCAGGCCCCGCCCCGCCCTGCCCGTGGGAGCAGCCAGGCCCACTCACTGAAGTCCGAGATGTCCGTGATGAGGAAGTAGCTGCCCTGGGGGATCACGGGCCTCAGGCCCACCGCCTGCAGGCTGCGCGCCATGTGGTCGCGGCGCCGCTGCATGGCCTGCGGGAACTGCACGAAGTAGCTGCACGGCTGGCCCAGGTGCTGCAGCTCCCGCTCGAAGCTCAGGGCCACGGCGGCCTGCGCGGGGTGCACGGACAGGTCGGGGGGGGGGGCCCTGCCTGCGGGCCTCTCCCTATGCCCGCCCCCCCGTGGGGGGCTCCCGCCCCTCCTCACCTGGCCCTGCGTGGGGCAGTGGAAGATGGAGTTCTGGTGCACAGTGCGCAGGTGCCTCATGAGAGCGTCGGGGCCCAGGGCCCAGCCCACCTGCGGGAGCAGCACGGGTGGGCGGGACCCAGGGCCCAGCCCACCTGCGGGAGCAGCACGGGTGGGCGGGACCCCTGTGCCATCCCCGGGCCCACCCAGCCGGCCCCACCCGGTCCACTCACCTTCCAGCCGGTGGCGCTGAAGGTCTTGCCGGCGCTGCCGATGGTCAGGGTCCGCTCCCACATGCCGGGGAGGCTGGCTGCACGAGGGAGAAGCTGCTGGGTGCGGGCAGGGGCAGCGGCCTGGGCCCTCGGCGCTCGCCCGCCCTAAGCTGTTCCCCGGAGCTCTCGGACCTCGCGCGGCGCGGCCCAGGCTCCAGCCCCGCCGGGCTCACCGATGCTGGTGTGCTGGTGGCCGTCGTAGACCAGCCACTGGTAGACCTCGTCGGAGATGCACAGCACATCGTGCTGCCGGCACAGGTGGGCCACCAGCTCCAGCTCGGCCTTGGAGAACACCTGTGGGGCCCAGGGAGGCCAGACCCCTGCCGCCGCGGGCCTGTGTGCACTGGCCCCGAGTCCCCACGGGCACCGGGAGAGGCCCCTCACCACCCGCAGGGTCGCCCCCAGCCCTCACACCCTCCCTGGGGAGCCTGCCCTGCCCCGGGTGTCCCCATGGCCCGCCCACTTCACAGAGGGAGAAGCTGAGTCCCCGGGGCAGCAGGTCAGGGAGAGTGGGGACCTGGGCCGGTCCGGAGGGGCTACCGGGAGGAGGCGTCTCGGCACCTTGCCCAGGGGGTTGTTGGGGGTGTTGAGGACCAGGGCTTTGGTCCGAGCGGTGAACTTGCTGGCCAGCTCCGCGGGGTCCAGGCACCAGTTGCTGCTGGAATCTGGCTCCTTGTCTTGGGAGGGGCTCTGGGAGGTGGGAGGGGTGGCAGTACTCACCCACCTGGCTTTCCACTCCCCCACACCTCTGCCCCCACCCACTCCACCTCCCAGGGCCCACGCCAGCTCACCCACTGGAGCCATCTGCCCACCCACTCCCTGCCCGGCATCTTACCGGCCTCAGGGACACGAACACGGGGCGGCCCCCAGCCATCAGGGTCATGGGCTCGTAACAGTCAAAGAAGGGCTCCATGATGATGACCTGGCGCGAGGACCGGATCAGCGGGGGCGGCGCCGCCCCGCCCGCTCCCCCCAGGCCCGCCCGCTCACCTCGTCTCCCTCGTCCACCAGGGCCTGGAAGGCTGTGAACAGGGCCCCGTAGGCGCCCACGGTCACCAGCACGTTCTTGAGCGGGTCCAGCTCCTGGCCCAGCAGCTTCCCGAAGAAACTGGCCAGGATCTCCGTGAGCGGTGGGTAGCCCTGCCGGGACAGCGCGGTCAGCTGCCGCTAGGGGGCGCCGGCACTGCAGGCGGCGCCGTCCCCGCTGGTGGGCTTTAAACGAGCAAACCTTCCAAGGAGAAATCTGACATCTATCAGTCATGAGTTAGGGTTTTATAGCCTTAAAATACTTGTTTATTTGTTTTAAAGTACTTTTTAAAAAAGATTTCTATTATTATTTGAAAGGCAGAGTTAGAGAGAGACAGAGACAGACAGATCTTCCATCCACTGGTTCACTCCCCAAACAGCCGCAATGGCCAGGGCTGGGCCAGACCAAAGCCAGGATCCAGGATCTTCTTCCCCGTCTGCCACGTGGGTGCAGGGGCCCAGGCACTGGGGCCATCTTCTACTGCCTTCCCAGGTGCATTAGCAGGGAGCTGGATGGGAAGTGGAGCAGCCGGGACTCGAACCGGCGCCCACATGGGATGCTGGCGTTGCAGTGGTGGCTTTACCCCATACGTCACAACACTGGCCCCTGAGAGTATTTTTTTAAAACAAATTTTTGAAAGAGATACAAAGAGACAAAGATCTCCCACCCACTGGTTCACACCCCCGAAGTCAGGAGCTGGGAACTCCGCCCAGGGCGCCCACGGGGGTGGCAGGGGCTCAAGCACTTGGACCATCATGCTGCTTCCCAGGGTGCATCGGCAGGCAGCTAGGAACAGGGGCAGGGCCAGGACTCCCCCAGGCGCCCTGACACGGATGCGAGTGTCTTAACTGCTAGGCCGAACGCTCCCAAGACCCCTGTTCCAATCCAAGGCTGGCAAATATGAAGTATATGGCCCTTTACAGAAGGGGCTGGTCCCATCAGCAGCCTGGCTTTTGGGTTTGGTTCCGGTGTCACCTCCTCCAGGAAGTCTTCCCTGATCTCTACCTTCCTCCTCCAGTTTCATTCCCTTTCCTGCTTCCGGCCCCCCACCCCCCCACTCCACTGCCCGGATCAACAGCCTTTGCTGTAGCTGGTTTCTCCTCTGCTTTCCCCACTCGGCCTTGAGGCACAGGGCCTGGGACAGAGGGGGTGTCCAGGAGGCCCGCCCTCCCTCCCGCAGGGCCGGCGGCGAGGCGGGCACTCACGAACGCCCTGGTGTACTGGTTCAGCATGAAGTCCCCAGTGACGGCCTGCCGGAAGGCTTCCAGGGCGAAGTCCGGGGGCGGGAAGTCGGGGAAGCCCTGGCCCAGGTTCACGGCATCACACTCGCTGGCCAGCCGGACGTACTCCACCCTGGGTGACAGACGGAGAGCTGGTGGCCCACGCCTCCGCCCCCACCCCCTCCCAGGGCGGGACGAGCGGTGCCCGGGGCTCATGTGGCCAGCAGGTGTGTGCGGGGGTCCGTCCCACGCTGGCCCAGGCCCTGAGCCAATCACGTGGAGCTGCCCAGGGGACTTCAACCTTCTTGACGACCACCCACAGTCAGAAACCTCTGAGCTCCCTGGCCCCAGGACGCACGGCTCAGCTGCGGGTGCCGACCGCTGGCCCGGCCTGGCCTGCTCCTTCGTCCAGAATGCTTGCCACAAACCCTAACTCGTCAGTGCATTCGCTGTGTCTGTGCGGCCCGTCCTGCTGCTGGGCCACCACGGGGACCCGGAGCTGAGTTAGCACCTGCCGTCTCCCGGTCAGCGCCCGCCATCTCCTGGTCAGCACCCACGATCGCCCAGTCAGCACCCGCCGTCTCCCGGTTAACACCCACTGTTAGCACCCTGCCATCTCCCGTTTAGTGCCCGCTGTCTCCCGGTCAGCGCCCACCGTCTCCCGGTCAGTGCGAAGGCTCGGCCCGCCCTCCGCTTCACGTCTGCCCGGCCCCAGGTTAGGCTCTTGGCCTCCCTCTGGACAGACTGGGGCCCCACCAGCTCCAGCCCCACCATTGCGACCTTCCTCCTGGCCTTGCCGCGTGGCCTCTCGGGGAAACCGGAGAGCGGCTGGGGGTGAGGAAGAGCCGGAGCTGTGGCTCTGGGCTGGCTGGGAGCCGGGGCAGCCAGAGTCAGGCTTGGCGGGGCTAGACTGGTGTCAAAATCAGTATCATTTATAACACGTTTTATTTATGTTCTTATATATTTGGTGTTTTTTTAATTAATTTATTTGAAAGGCAGAGTTACAGAGAGTCAGAGGCAGAGAGAAAGAGAGGTCTTCTATCTGCTGGTTCACTCCCCAGATGGCCACAACGGCCAGAGCTATGCTGATCCGAAGCCAGGAGCCAGGAGCTTCCTCTGGGTCTCCCACGTGGGTGCAGGGGCCCAAGGACTAGGGCTGTCTTTCACTGCTTTCCCAGGCCACAGCAGAGAGCTGGATCAGAAGTGGAGCAGCTGGGACTCGAACCAGCGCCCATATGGGATGCCTGCATTATAGGTGGTGGCTTTACCCGCTATGACATAGCACAGGCCCCATATACTTATATATTTGAAAGGCACAGCTGGCGCCGTGGCTCACTAGGCTAATCCTCCGCCTTGCGGCGCCGGCACCCCGGGTTCTAGTCCCAGTCAGGGCGCCGGATTCTGTCCCGGTTGCCCCTCTTCCAGGCCAGCTCTCTGCTGTGGCCAGGGAGTGCAGTGGAGGATAGCCCAAGTCCTTGGGCCCTGCACCCCATGGGAGACCAGGATAAGTACCTGGCTCCTGCCATCGGATCAGTGCGGTGCGCCAGCCGCAGCGCCGCCGGCCGCGGCGGCCATTGGAGGGTGAACCAATAGCAAAGGAAGACCTTTCTCTCTGTCTCTCTCTCTTTGTCCACTCTGCCTGTCAAAAAAAAAAAAAAAAAAAAAAAAAAAAAGGCACAGCGAGAGAGATAGAGAGAAAGGATCTATCCACTGTTCACGCCGTAAATGGCTGCAACAGCCAGGTCTGGGCCAGGCCGAAATCAGGAGCAAGGAGCTCCATCCGGGTCTCCCACGTGGGAGGCAGGGGCCCAAGGACTTGAGCCATCACTGACTGTCTCCCAGGGTCGCTTGGATCACAGGCGGAGCTAGGACTTGAGCCCAGCACCCTGACAAGGGCTGTGAGCACCCCAAGTGGCCCTCAGTGCCCCACCGCGGCTGCTGCCCGAGAACATCGCGTCCGTGTACAGCCTGTCGCTCCCCTCTGCCCTCAGGGCTCCGCAACGCCCTGGAGCCAGACAGCTGAGGCTCAGGGTGGGCAGAAAGTCGGCCGAAGCCACGGGCAGCACCGGACTCAGAGCTGGGTGGTGGATGCCCACGGCTGCAGGAAGCCAGGCCCTAGGGCCCGAGGCTGGGCCTCCAGGGAACGAATCCTCGGGCTCCCACCCCGGGGCCAGCCCTGGGCCTCCGGGCGCTCCCCTCCCGCCCCAGGCGCTCCTTCCAGGCCCCTGCTCAGCCCCGCCCAGGAGGCTCGGCTGCTCTCTTCCCTCTCTGTAGGAGGAGACCGGCCACAGGCCCCGCCTCTGCCAGGCCTGCCCCCCCCGAGCCTGTGATGCTGTGACAGACACACCCGGCCTTGGCTCCTAAAGCCTTGTACTCTCCAGTGACCTGGTCTACTGTATGGCAACCAGATGACTGGGGGCCCTGGATGGGGACCCCAATCCTCAGGCCCCGAGGTGGGCTGGGCAGTCAGGGAGCCCAGACATGAGCAGAACCGCAGGGCGGGGAGGGGGCTGAAGGCCGAGTCGACCAGCCAATGGCCGATAACTGATCAACCACTCCTCCGTGATGACACTTTGGTGAAACCTGCCGGACCCGTGGGGTTACAGCCCGCTGTGCGCTGGCAGGGGCACAGGAAAACCGACCTGTTCTGGCCCGGATCCTAACCCTTACCCGCAACCAGGGCCACACGGCTGCCCCGTGCACCCCACAAGGGCACAGGGCTGGGGCCTAAGGACCGGGCCGGACTCTGCAAGGCCTTTGGGGCTGGCTCTGCTGTGCAGAGAACGCGGGGCGCCCGGGGGAAGACGGAGGTGCAGGATCTGCATGGACCCGGGGCCTGCACACTAGGGAACTCAGGGGGAAGTGGTCCCGGCTCTTCCCAAACTCACAGGCCAGCACAGGGCTCGCTGCACCCGGCCCAGGGTCGGGGTGATGATCAAATCTGCTACAGACGTTTCCACTGCAGCCAGCGCACCACCAGTGTGGCAGCCCCGGCGTGACCTGGGCCACGGCCACTGCACCAGAGTGACAGTTCCAGCGTGACCTGGGCCACAGCCACTGCACCACCAGTGTGGCAGCGCTGGCGTGACCTGGGCCACGGCCACTGCACCAGTGTGACAGCCCCGGCGTGACCTGGGCCACGGCCACTGTACCACCAGTGTGGCAGCCCCGGCGTGACCTGGGCCACGGCCACTGCACCACCAGTGTGGCAGCCCCGGCGTAACCTGGGCCACGGCCACTGCACCACCAGTGTGGCAGCCCCAGCGTGACCTGGGCCACGGCCACTGCACCACCAGTGTGGCAGCCCCGGCGTGACCTGGGCCACGGCCACTGCACCACCAGTGTGGCAGCCCCGGCGTGACCTGGGCCACAGCCACTGCACCAGAGTGACAGCCCTGGTGTGACCAGGGCCACAGCCACTGTACCAGTGTGACAGCCCCGGCGTGACCTGGGCCACAGCCACTGCACCAGAGTGACAGCCATGGCATGACCTGGGCCACAGCCACTGCACCAGTGTGGCAGTCCCGGCGTGACCTGGGCCACGGCCACTGCACCACCAGAGTGACAGCCCCGAGTGACCTGGGCCACGGCCACTGCACCAGTGTGGCAGTCCCGGCGTGACCTGGGCCACAGGTGCTGTTTTCCCAGGGTACGTCTCCCTTTTGTATTTAAAACGTATTGAAAAACAAGCGAATATGGGTACAGCTCAGTTCACAACCCAAATGTCCGTCAACTGAAGACTGGACCAGGAAATTATGGGATAGGTACACCATGGACTACTACACAGCGGTACAGAAGGAAATGCCGTCATACGTGACACAATGGACGAATCTGGGAAACATCACTCCCTGCCCTAAGCCGGCCCCAGAGGGACAAGCCCCACGCTCTGCCTGACCTGTGGCAGCAAACAGAGCCCCGAACCGGCCATCTGTGGAAGTGAAATTAACCCTTCGAGATCCAATGACTTGGAACAGCCTTTGTCTCGACTGCTAAAGGGACAGTCTTTCCCACACAATTACTTTTTCCTTAGCATAATCGTACGTGTATAAAGTTAAGTGAGAATAGGTCTTAGTGAAAATAAGACTGGGAATGGGGAGGGAGACGGAGACGGCGGGAAGAATCACCGTGTTCCTAAGCTGTACTTAGGAAATGTGGAAGTTTGTATTCCTTAATAAAAGGTTTCTGGGGAAAAACCAGGACCTGGGGTCCCCACTGGGGATGCCTGCGTCACGTGTCGGGGCGCTGGGTCACGTCCTGGGCGCTCTGCCTCGTGCCACGGCGCCTGGAAGCAGCGGGGCACGGCTCCTGTTCCCGGGCCCTGGCGCTCAGACGGGGACCAGGACGGGGCTCCCGGCTGCTGGCTCCAGCCTGGTCTGGTCCCGGCCAGTGCGGGCACTCGGGGAGTGAACCAGCAGGTGAAGATCGCCCCGGCTCTGTGTCTCCTCTCTGTCTCTCGGCCTTTCAAATAGAAGCACAGCTTGAACTAGTGAGCCCTGCAGACGTGTGGTGAGGGCCGCCTGGGTCCGCCTCCCTTGGCTCTCACACTGGGCACACCACGGGGGGTGGTCCCAGCAGTGCCTCCCACAACGGTGCTGCGCCTGCAGGTGTCGTGTGTGTGGCCTCCTGGACAGCTCGGGCCCTGCAGACGGCTCCTGGCCCCTAACGCCACGGCAGGGCCGCGGAAGATCACCGCACCATGCCGCTCGGGCACTGGAAGCAAAAAGCCTGCAGGGTGGATGCGTTTTTCTTTTCTTTTTAAATGTGTGTATTTTTGATCCACGGAGGGAGGGGTCCACAGATGCAGACCCTGCACCTGGGTGACGGCCACTGCACGGCGTTCTCCCTGACCCCTCAAGGCCCCTCACAGAGGCAGAACTGTCCCCAGCCTGAGCCGGGAGCCGACGCTCAGAGCAGATGAGCCACCCATCTCAGGGCCACAGCCCAAGAAAAGCAGAGACTGGAATCCGACACTTTGGGTCTCGCCCCCTCCTGCTTTGTGAGCGCCACGGCTGTCCTGGGTACCACCGCGCGGCTAGTGAGGGCCAGCCCCTGCCCGAGGGGACACCCACGCACCCCCCAGCCCCGCCGGCTCACCAGGGGTTGTGGTCGATCCCGGTCAGCCTTCGGGCCTGCACACGCTTGGCCATGGCGAGCTGCAAAGAGCAAGTGGCAGGTCAGTGTTGGTCCGAGTCACCCAGGGCGCCTGCCCCCCACCCGCCGTGGCCCCCGTCCACCGGCTCCTAACATGCCAGCAGCCCCAGTGCCACGTGTGCTGACACAGAGCCCTGACAGCCTGCTGAAAACTTGCCGGGGCTGGCGGTGTGGCGTGGCAGGTAAAGCCACCGCCTGCAGTGCCGGCATCCCATACGGGCGCTGGTTGGAGTCCCAGCTGCTCCTTCCGATCCAGCTCTCTGCTATGACCCGGGAAAGCAGTGGAAGATGCCCAAGTCCTTGGGCCCCTGCACCTGCGTGGGAGACCCAGAAGAAGCTCCTGGCTCCTGGCTTCGGATTGGCACAGCTCCAGCCATTGCGGCCATCTGGGGAGTAAACCAGTGGATGGAAGACCTCCCTCTCTCTGTCTGTAACTCTGCCTTTGAAATGAATAAAAAAAATTTTTTTTAAAGAAAACTTGCCCCAGGACCCAGGAAGGGCAGAGGGCGGCGACGGCACCGGCAGCAGCTTCCACCCCCAGACCCCTGCTAAGCTCTTCCGTTTAACTCTCAGACAATCCTGCTGGGCCCATTCTACAGGGGAGGAAACTGAGGGAGGAGTGGGGGGAGTGACGTGTTCAAGGTCACACGACAGATACACTCAGCCTCGGGGGTCAGAGGGTCTTACCCCCACCCCCCCGACTCTGCTCCCCTGCGTTTCTTCCAGGACAGCCCCTGGTTCACCCGCAGGTGTGCAGAACTGGCAAGGCCCGAGGGCCACCAGACCCTGAGCCTGCCGTGGCGGTGACCTGGGACAGGGGCCAGGGTGCCTCCTGGCCTGTCTCCCATCAGAGCAAGGGGAGCACGGGTCCGCTCCCGCGGGTCTAGCAGGCCCCCCCCCCACTCTCCCCAGCCACCCGATGCGGCCAACAGAGCCTTCCTGTGGCTAACGGTCTCACCCAGTCCCTTAGCACGGTCACTGGGCGGGGGGCGGGGCGTGATAACCTCCATTAACGGGTGGAGACACTGAGGTGACGCTGTGGCAGCTACGGCCCTGGGGCCCAGCACTGGAGGGGAGCCCCCAGCCCACTGTGGGAAGGCCAGGTTTTCCCGCACCAGAATCCTGCTGGTGTGAGCGAGTCCGAGGCCAGCACGGCCGCTCTGACCCTCCAAGGAAGCCCAGAGCTCAGGCGCAGGCCGGGTGCTGGGCACCCACCCAGGCGTCTGAATGGAGGGCAAGCCCTGCCGGGGAACCTCGTGAGAACACGTCTGGCCAGCGATCGCCTAACGCTGAACAATTTCTCACTCACCATTTCCTCACTGTCCAAATTTTTCTAAAATAAATGTTTGCTCGTATGATTAAAAATTGTAGGGGAAAAAGTCACATTTTAAGATTTATTTTATTTATTTGAAAGGGGAAGAGAGAGAGAGAGAGAAATATCATCATTCCACTAATGGTTGCAAATAGGTAGGGTTGGGCCAGGCCAGAGCCAGGAGCCAGGATGAGGCCAGGACAAAGCCAGGGGACCAAGCACTCGGGCCACCTTCAGCTGTTTTCCCAGGTGCATTCGCGGGGAGCTGGATCAGAAGTGGAGCAGCCGGGACTTGAACCAGTGCCCGCATGGGATGCTGTTGTTGCAAGCAGCGGCTTAACCCACCGCGGCACAGCGTCAGCCCCAAAGTTACGTGGTGGAAGCCTGTTACCTGTGACTCAGTGATGCCGAAACAGGCTACAAAGTTGTAAGTTCAGTATGACGGTCTCTGCTTTATGTAAAAAAAAAAAAAAAAAAAATCCACCACCCTGATATACATGAGCATTTGTGTATATATACACATTTTTACGACGTGAGCGGAAAAAGAGTTTGGAAGAAACAACATCAAATTGTTGCCAGGGCTGGGGCTGTGGCGCGGGGGTCACGCTGCGTCCCATGGCAGAGTGGCTTCGCTTCAATCCAGCTCCCTGCCAATGCGCCTGCGAGGGGAGGGGCTGGTGGTGCTTGGCCCCCGTACCCACGTGAGAGACCCGGATGGAGCTCCTGGCTCCGGGCACTGGCCTGGGCCAGCTCTGGCTGTCGTGGACATCTGGGGAATAAATCCAAGGAAGAAAGTTCTTCGCGCGTGTGTGTATGCGTGCGTGTTTGTGTGCGTGTGTGTGCGTGTGTGCATCTTGTCTCTCCCTCTCTGTCACTCTGCCTGTCAAAGGAAAAAACAACAACAAAAAAACCGTAACAAAGAATTGCTGACAAAGCCCCCGGGCGGTGGAATTATGGGGGATTTCAGTTCTGTGTGCGTGCCCGTCTTCCCCTCCCAACGTCTCTCCTTGTTTTCATTTTTGCCTGACACAGGCGTGGGCTGCAGCGTGTGTTCCGATGCCCGAGATGCCTGTGATGGGGGTGATCGGTACCCCGATCACCTTCACCGCCTCCGTGTGGTGAGCGCCTGTGGGACAGCTCAGGACCACGTCCTGGGTGCCCGTCTCCGACGCCGAGTCTTTCTGGGGAGCCCCCATCCGGTGGGTTCAGCGTGTGTGTCTTCTGCACAGCTCTCTGAATGCAGATGTGTGTCCCAGCCTGAATCAGCAAACGGGCACAGCGGTCGGAACAAGGGCGGCGCAGCCCACGTGATGTCAACCGGGCTTAGGAAGCGGAGAGAAATAACGGGGCGCCCTGGAAACAGGGGGTGCTCAGGGAGTGGCCTCCAGGTGCATCCAAAGTGCTTGGACCAATAAGGACATTAGTGTGTGTTCTTGGGCTTGCGCACATAGCACATTCATTTGGCCAACATTGTCGAGCACCTACTGTGTACCAGGCGCTGGGCTGTGCCCGGGGGGCATCGGAGGGGCAGCAGCACCCACGCAGGCTGTTCAGATGCAGAGCCACGCACTCCAGACTAGAGAAGCTAGAGCAAGAGACAGACCCACATCCAGGCGGCAGTCAGGGAAGGCTTCCTGAGAGAGGCGGCTCATGCACGGCTTCAAAACTGGGGTCCAGCTGGATGCCAGGACCCGGGCCATGCAGGCGGCAGAGCGTCGGCGCTGCGGCACTTACGGTCTGGTGCAGGCACCGGGCGGGCGAGGCTCCAACCTTCTTTCCCCAGAGCGGCCTCAGCAAGTGCACGCGGATGCCGGCTGCGTTCCCAAACATGCTTCCCCGGGCCACGGGGCGCCGCCGGCTCCTCCGCTGGGGGCAGAGAAGGGAAGAGGGCCGGCCAGAAGTGGCCGCGTGCTCGGGACGTGGTCCCCCCGCCACCGCTCTAACAACAACAAGGCAATGTGGTCACCGCGTGCCCGGCTCAACCTGCACGGTGCTCACGGCCTCGCTGGGGCACACATGCCTGCCAGCAACCAGCCTGGAAGACGCACAGCGCCGCCCGCGGGCCGTGGCCTGGGGAGGACCGTGTGGCACTGCGCACAGTGTCAGCCGCGGCAGCTCCTGGAGCTGAAGTCACATCTCCCCGGCCGGCCTTCTGTTCTGCAGGGAACCTAGGTGCTGGCGTCGGGGCACAGCAGGGGGAGCCGCCACTTGCAATGCGGGAGCGCCAGGTGCGTCCTGGCTACTTGGCCTCCACTCCAGCTTCCTGCTAGCGCACCTGGGAAAGCAGGCAGCAGGAGGGCCCCAGCACCTGGGCCCCCGCCACGCACATGGGAGGCCGGGCTGGAGCCCTGGCTCCTGGCTTCGCTCTGACCCAAGTCCGGCTGTTGTGGCCATGTGGGGAGTGAACCAGAGGATGGAGGACCTCTCTCTCTCTCTCTCTCTCTCTCTCTCTGTCATTTTGCCTTTCAAGTAAATAAATAATCTTTTAGAAAGTGAAAATAGAACCCCCAGATGGGTAGAAGCTATTTGTAACAAAAATAAGAATTTCAAGGGAAGAAGAGCGAGGCGGCTGATGTGCACACGGGTGAGCTCAAGCCCTTGGTCATTACCAGCAGGATGGATGGGGACAAGCGCCGGTGACGAAGCCGGCAGACAGGAACCTCACACACGCCGGTCCCCACGCTGACGCGGAAGCTGCAGACACTTTGGGAAAGTCTGGCCGCTCCTCGAAATCTTTTTTTTTTATTATTTTATTTATTTATTTTTTAACAGGCAGAGTGGACAATGAGAGAGAGAGACAGAGAGAAAGGTCTTCCTTTGCCGTTGGTTCACCCTCCAATGGCCGCTGCGGCCGGCGCACCGCGTTGATCCGAAGGCAGGAGCCAGGTGCTTCTCCTGGTCTCCCGTGGGGTGCAGGGCCCAAGCACTTGGGCCATCCTCCACTGCACTCCCTGGCCACAGCAGAGAGCTGGCCTGGAAGAGCGGCAACCGGGACAGAATCCAGAGCCCTGACCAGGACTAGAACCTGGTGTGCTGGCGCCGCAAGGCGGAGGATTAGCCTAGTGAGCCGTGGCGCCGGCCTGAATACATACAAATCTGAAACACAGGCAGCCACGGGGCACGGCCACTCCACGTCTCGGCACGTGTCAGAGAAACAAAGGTGGGCGCCCCCAGAAGCTCTCCTGTGGCCACTCAGGGTGTTATCTGTACCGGTCAGGCCCGAACACAGCGCAATGAGCCTCCACGGAGGGGTGGCGTCTGGTAACAAAAAGGAACAAAGGAGGAGCCGGCGCTGTGGCTCAGCGGGTAAAGCTGCAGCCTGCAGTGCTGGCATCCCACGTGGGCGCCGGTTCAAGTCCCGGCTGCTCCACTTCCGGTCCAGCTCTCTGCTGTGGTCTGGGAAAGCAGTGGAAGATGGCCCAGGTCCTTGGACCCCTGCACCCATGTGGGAGACCCAGAAGAGGCTCCTGGCTTCTGGCTTGAGTCTGGACCAGCCCTAGCTGTTACAGCCCTCTGGGGATGGAAGACCTCTCTCTCCCTGTCTCCCTCTCTGTAACTCTGACTTTCAAATAAATAAGTCTTAAAAAAAAAAAAAAAAAAAAAAAAGCCCAATCCCGCGTCTGACATGGACAGCTCCTGAAAACGTTCCGTCGCGTGAGGCCAGAAGCCGCGTAATTCCACTCACACGAGGTGGGGGAGTCCGCGGCGGCAGTCACAGGAGCAGGGGACAGGGACTGTGTCTTGGATGCAGCAGGGCCTGGGTCCCTGCCGCCCACGTGGGAGACCTGCAGAGTTCCCGGCACCTGCTTTAGCCTGGCCCAGACCTGGCTGCTGCGGGCCTCCGGGGAGAGAACCAATGCGTGGAAGCTCGCTCGCTCGCTCTCTCTCTCTCACTCTCTCGCTCTGTCACTCTGCCTTCTGGTAAATAAATCCATCTTTCAAAGACGGCGTCTTGGTGGTGCCCACGGCCACGTGTCTCCCTCCCTGCGGAGAGCCTGGCTGTGCCGGAGGACGCTGAGCCCAGCCACATGGGAGTCACTCCAGGATCGGCCCATGTGGGGAAGGCAGCGCGGTCCCCGGGCAGTGGGCCTCGAGGCCCTGGGTGGGGACACTGTACAGACGGCCACACCCAGCGGGCATCAGGGTGGACCCAAGGGGGGACTGAGCGTCACCTCACAGAGGCATCGCTAGTTGGCTGGGGGTGACCGTGGCCGTCTTCGTCCACTTCCTGCTGTGTAACGGAATGTCTGAGCCGGGTAATTCACAAGGAATGGAGGCCGGCGCCGCGGCTCACTAGGCTAATCCTCCGCCTAGCGGCGCCGGCACACCGGGTTCTAGTCCCGGTTGGGGCGCCGGATTCTGTCCCGGTTGCCCCTCTTCCAGGCCAGCCCTCTGCTGTGGCCCTGGAGTGCAGTGGAGGATGGCCCAGGTGCTTGGGCCCTGCACCCCATGGGAGACCAGGAAAAGCACCTGGCTCCTGGCTCCTGCCATCGGATCAGTGCGGTGCGCCGGCCGCAGCGCGCTGGCCGCGGTGGCCATTGGAGGGTGAACCAACGGCAAAGGAAGACCTTTCTCTCTGTCTCTCTCTCTCACTGTCCACTCTGCCTGTCAAAAAAAAATAAAAATAAAAATAAAAAAAAATAAAAAAAAATAAAAAATTCACAAGGAATGGAGACATTGCTCACCACCCCAGAGCCTGGGAAACCCCACGCTGTCTCGCTGCGACATCGCGGCGGATGGAAGAAGGGTAAGAGAGGACGCCCACCTTGCTTTTGCAACTTTCAAATAAATAAATTACATTTTTTAAATATTTATTTATTTGAGAGGCAGAGGCAGAGAGAGAGGTCTTCCATCTGCTGGTTCACTCCCCAGATGGCCACAAAGGCTGGAGCTGGGCCAATCCGAAGCCAGCAGCTTCTTCCGGGTCTCCCACGTGGGTGCAGGGGCCCAAGCACTTGGGCCATCTTCTACTGCTTTCCCAGGCCTTAGCAGAGAGCTGGATAGGAAGTGGAGCAGCCAGGACATAAACCGTTGCCCATATGGGTTGCCAGCACCACAGGCGGAGGCTTTGCCTACTATGCCACAGTGCCAGCACCCCCCCCCTTTTTTTTAAGATTTACTTGAAAGTCAGAGTGGGGTGGGGGAGGGAAGGGATGGAGAGGGAGAGAGAGACTGACTTTCACCTGCGGTTCACTCCCCAGTTAGCCCCAAGGCTGGGGCAGCGGCAGGTGGACGCCAGGCCTCCCACACGGACAGCAGGGCCTCTTCTGCTGCTGCCTCCTTGGGCCATTAACAGGGAGCTGGATTGAAGGTGGAGCAGCCAGGACTCGAACCAGCGCCCACAGGGGATGCCGGCACTGCAGGCTGGGGCTTTACCCCGCTGCGCCACAGCGCCGCTCCGTAGTCTGGTTCTGATGCTTCCCTCTGTCTTCCAACTGTGTGTGATTTTAGTCTCACCTATTAGGAAAAATGCTAGGAAAATGTGCTTATGTGCAGGGCAGAGACACCTGGTGGAAGGGACACTGACACGGAGACAGAGCCCTCCCTCGCGCAGGGTCACCCCTCAGATGCCTGGGACAGCAGGAGGCTGAAGCTGGCAGCCAGGAACTCAGGTCTCCCGTGTGGGAGCCTGCGCCGGAGTCCACGGCCGGAGTCCACGGCAGCAGGAAGCTGACACCCAGGGCCAGCCCCGGGCATCAAGTCCAGGCACCCCGCTGAGACACGCGCACATCCTCACTGGTGTCTTCACCCCCAGGCCAGATGCCCGGCCCTGCCTTGGTGTCTTCGGCTGAGCGCGGGACCTGCGGTGGCTGGCGTGGCGCAGTGGGTTACGCCGCGGCTCACAACGCCAGCGTCCCGGATCAGAGCGCCAGTTCGAGTCCCAGCCGCTCCGCCTCCGACCCAGCTCCCTGCTAACGCTCCCGGGCAGGCAGTGCGTGACGGCCCAAGCGCGTGGGCCCCTGCCACCCTCGTGGGAGACTCAGATGGAGTCCCTGGCTCCTGGCTGCAGCAGGGCCCAGCCCAGGCCATTGAGAGGCCATTTAGGGAGTGAACCAGAGGATGGAAAACCTCTCTTCTCGTTCTTTTAATCTCTTTTGCTCTCTGTTACTGTCTTTCAAATAAACGAATAAACGTTAAAGCAAGCAAGCAAGTTGGAGTTGCTGTAGTGGACAACAGGAAGTGGTAAGGATTCTTAGTGACCGGGGGCGCACCCCGGTCCCACGGTCAGGTCCTGGGCTCATTCACCCCTCCCCCTGCTCGGCTGGGACAGCAAAGTTAGAGGGGGCGGGAGTGGGGGGGTCTTCCCTCCCCCGCGATGGGTTCTGATAGGCCAGGCTCTGTCTCAATCATTGCTTAGGGGGCAGCCCCTACTAAGAAGTGAATTTGGTAGACTGTTCCGGCATACTTAAACACGCTGCTTTCCCCTCTCCCGCACACGCACTGTGGGAACCTGGCTGGGCTTCCAGAGGTAAGACTCACAGGGGTGCCGGCTGCCACGCCCGGGCCCCGGAGTCCCTCGCCCTTGGACGCGTTCACACCAAGCGCCAGCAACTCGCCCACCACGGCTCGGGCTCTCCGCCGGGTACCCGATTCCGGGGAGCCTTCTGCTCCGTATGCTGTGATTCTCCACCTCCGTCGTTTAAAAATCACTTACGTGAAAGGCAGAGTGACAGAGAGGGGAGAGCGCCCTCCCATCCGCCGGTCCGCTCCCCAAATGCCCACAACAGCCAGGGCCGGCCCGGTTGAAGACAGACGCCGGGAGCTTCACCTGGATCTCCCACGTGGGTGGCAAGCACCCAGGTACCTGGGCCGTCCCCTGCTGCTTTCCCGGGCGCGGGCGCAGGGCGCTGGATGGGAAGCAGAGCCGCTGGGACTCACTGGCACTCGGCCAACAGCAGACGTGCGCACTGCACCCCACGCCCCGCGGCTGCCTTTGTCTCTCGAATTCTGGGAGCAGCCCTGAGACCTCTCTGCTGGTCTGAGACCTGCTGGGTCCCTGCCGAGAGGAGAGGAGGGAGCCGCTCACCTGGAGACCGGAGCTGACACCGCTGTGACCCACCTGGTCTACCATGAGAATGCTCTTCTTCATTTTTAATGAGAAACCTTACTCTTTTAAAAAGTTTATTCATTTCTTTTCATTTTCAAATTGAGAGGCAGAGGTGGGGGATCTTCCAGCCGCTGCTTCACTCCCCAGACGCCTACAACAGCCAGGGCCCAGGAACTCCCTCCGGGTGTCCCACATGGTGACGGGACCCAAGTACCTGGGCTGTCACTGCTGCTTTCCCAAGGTGTGCAGCGGCAGGAAGCCGGACCAGAACCTCAGCTGGGACTTGACCCGGTCCTCCACGCAGGGTGAGGGCGTCCCGCGGCCCCCAGTGCCTGCCCAGAAGGCTCTGACTTTGTCACGAAGGAGAACTACAGACAGGCGTTGATAACCCAGTGACGCACACCGTGGCACGCACACCTACTCTAGAATGTTCCAGGAGCGGCACAGCCGCCTGCACCTCCCGTCCACACCTGCAGCGTCCTTTGAAGGTTCATGGAAAATGCATGTTAAAAAACAACAGAATATGTGTGGGTCCTAGAGATTTCTTTTCACCAAAAAAAACCCTTTCATTTCATTTTTCCACGAACGTTCTGAAACTCCCCCACGAGCTTGGCCCACCGTGAGCCCCCCCAGGCCCCGCCCTTTCCAAACCGAGTCCTCCCCACAAAGACTTTCAAAGCCTCCCTGAGCGCTGGCAGTGGACGACCTGTGCAAAGGTGGGCACCCCCTCCTCCTGCCCGTCCTCCCAACCACGCCCTCGGGCCAGGCCCTGGCGTTGCACTGAGACAACGGTGGGGTGGGCACCGGCCTGGCCACAGAGCTCCCGGTCCCATGGGGGAAGAGACCCCGCCCCCCAGCGGGACCCCTCTCATACAGAGGTGAGTGCCTGCTTGAACCGAGACAGGCAGCGTGGAAACCCTAAGCCCCTGCCCTGCGAAAGCCCCTTTCTTTGCAAACAGGGTGGGGGTGCATCCTAACCCAGCAGGGTCACTGTCCTCGCAAGGAGGGGAGGGAGACAGAGGTGGGGATGTGGCCTCTGCAGGCCGAGGGACGCTGCGGGCCGCCGGCAACACCACAGCCTAGGGACGGGCACAGACGGCTCCTTCCCTGGAGCCTTGGGAGAGAGCATGGCCTTGCGGACGCCCCGAGCTGGGGCTGCTGGCCCCCAGACCCCAGACACGGCCACCTCCCGGTTACAGCAGCCCAGGGAAACTGAGGCAACGGGACACCGGAGGGTGCTCTCCTCACTTGCCCCGGGGACAAGGGGTCGGGGAAGGCTGCTTGGATGCGGCTGAGGCCCAAAGGGAAAACGTACCAGGGCGAGAGGTGGGGGTGAGCAGAGCCTGGGGTGGAAGGCAGCTGTGTGGGCTCCAGGAGCGAGAACCCGGTTGTGATGTTGTTCCTTTCAGCAGAGAAAGGGGCCTTGGACGTGGGTGAATCGTGGGTGCTCCAGTGCAAGTGTGAGTTCGCACCTGTCTCTGTTGGTGTCGTGAGCTTGGGGGTTTAGAGGGGGCGCTTTCCCCGACCTCGCATGGGAAAGAGAGGCCATGGTGGGGGCAGTTCCAGCCGCAGGCAGAAAGAGTACAGTGGCTCCAGCGGCAGCCCCCACCCAGCCCCTCTGCCTGATGCAAGGGGGTGGGGTGGGGGAATGAGGCGGCTTGTGGGCATGTTGTTCCTGAAGCTGCCAGCAGGGGGAGCGCAGAGCCAGTCTTGCGGGCCAGCTGGCCCTGGAGGTGGGGCAGTGAGGGGTGCTGGGGGAGACCCGGCGTGAGGTCTGTTGGTCTCCTAGTCTGGAGTCCTCCTAAGACTGCGAAGGAACCAGGAGCCTGCACAGGGGCCACTCGCATCACCAGGGCCAGCCCCAGGGACGACTCCCCTCCTCTCCTTGAGGCCAGCCTTCCCTGGCCGGCTCCGACGGCCCTCAGCGCTGTCCTCCCGCAGCGATGGCCTCTATTTCCTGCACCCTTCTCTGTGCGGGGCCCACCACGTTTTTTTTCTGGTTTTAGCTTTTGGTGAGGCACGCATGCTACAAACTCCACCATCCCCCCGCGTTTAGGTGCACAGTTCCGTGGTGGTAAGTGGGTCGCACTGCTGTGCAGCCGTCACCACTGGCCCCTCCTTGGGACACTGTTCATCTCGCAGGACTGAAACTGCACCCGGCAGACAGCACTGCCTCCCCCCACGCCCCCAAGTCCCTGCAACCACCCTCTGCTTTCTCTCTCTGAGTCTGACCACTCCAACTCAGGTGCCATCATTTAAAGAAAGTTATTTATTTACTTGAAAGGCAGAGTTAGAGAGAGAACTTCCATCTGTTGGTTCACTCCCCAGATGGCCACAACAGCCAGTGCTGGGCCAGGCCAAAGCCAGGAGCTTCTTCCGGGTCTCCCACGCGGGTGCAGGGCCCCAAGCTCTTGGGCCATCTTCCACTGCTTTCCCAGGCCACAGCAGAGAGCTGGATCAGAAGTGGAGCAGCTGGGGCTCGAACCAGCGCCCATGTGGGATGCAGGGAAGACCCCACCAAGATGCTAAACCACACACCCATGGCCACAGCTGACAAGGAGCAGAGCCCAGAGCCAGCAGGGACTCCACCCAGCCTCACACAAGAACGGCAGGAACCCCAGCACCACAGCCATCGCCCGCTGTCCCCCAGGACGCACAGGACCTGGGGTGCATGGGGGAGGCAGAACTGAAGGCAGCAGCTCGACCACTCGGCCCAACGCCCACCACGGTCACATACGTGACAATGCTCCCTGATGCACAAATACTTCGCTTTTTACAGAGTTCAAACACAGAACAGCCACACAACCTGGCAAATTCTACCCCTACGAATGCACCTCAGAGAAGAGCAAACTTGTGTCCACACAGAAATGGCCAGGTGTCCGCAGCACCAGCACTGCCCACAGCCGCGGAGTGCAAGGAACCCCGTGCCCCGACAGATGAACGGGCACAGGGCACTTCCATTAGTGGGACAGATGAACGGGCACAGGGCACGTCCATCAGTGGGACAGATGAACGGGCACAGGGCACGTCCATCAGTGGGACAGATGAATGGACACACAGGGCACGTCCATCAGTGGGACAGATGAATGGGCACACAGGGCATGTCCATCAGTGGGACAGATGAATGGGCACAGGGCATGTCCATCAGTGGGACAGATGAATGGGCACACAGGGCATGTCCATCAGTGGGACAGATGAACGGGCACAGGGCACTTCCATTAGTGGGACAGATGAACGGGCACAGGGCACTTCCATTAGTGGGACAGATGAATGGGCACAGGGCTCTTCCATTAATGGGACAGACGAATGGACACACAAGGCACGTCCATCCTATGGGACAGATGAACGGGCACACGGGGCACGTCCATCAGTGGGACAGATGAACGGGCACAGGGCACGTCCATCAGTGGGACAGATGAACGGGCACACAGGGCTCTTCCATCAGTGGGACAGATGAACGGGCACACAGGGCTCTTCCATCAGTGGGACAGATGAACGGGCACACAGGGCACGTCCATCAGTGGGACAGATGAACGGGCACGGGCACGTCCATCTAATGGGATATTAGTCAGTCTTCAGGAGGAACAACACACGGAGCCATGCCACAGCGTGCACGAACCACAAAAACATCACAACACAGCAAAGAAGCCCAACCTGGAAGGCCACGTACTGTTTGAGTCTTTCTACATGATTTATGCAGCACGGGCCGACCCACAGGGAGAGGATTCGTGGTGACTGGGGGTGGGGCAGTGGTTTTGGATGGGTACAGGGAGTTGTACTGGGGTAGTGGAAAAGTCTGGAAACTGGAGGGGTGGAGGAGGCACAACCACTGAATCTCTGCTTCAAAATGGCGAGCGGTGTGTCAACAGAATTTCAACTCTTTTTTTTTTTTAATATTTATTTATTTATTTGGAAGTCAGAGTTACACACAGAGAGAAGGAGGTCTTCTATCCACTGGTTCACTCCCCAAATGGCCACAATGGCCGGAGCTGAGGCAAACCGAAGTTAGGAGCCAGGAACTTCTTCCGGGTCTCCCATGCAGGTACAGGGCCCCAAGGACTTGGGCCATCTTCCACTGCTTTCCCAGGACATAGCAGAGAGCTGGATTGGAAGTAGAGCAACCGGGACTTGAACTGGCGCCCACATGGGATGCCGGCACTGCAGGTGGCAGCTTTACCCACTATGCCACAGCACCAGCCCCTCAAATCAGTTTTTAAAGTGTGTGGTAATAAAAAAAATCAGAGAATATAAATCTATTTGCATTTTTAAAGATGTATTTATTTGCTTTGGTGTTCTTAAACTTATTCATTTGAAAGGAAGAATGAGAGAGACAGAGAGATCTTCTATCCACACTGCTTCACTCCCTATATGGTTGCAACACTCAGGGCTGGGCCAGGCTGAAGCCAGGAGCCTGGAGCTCCATCCAGGTCTCCCACGTCGGGGCAGGGGCCCAGGCACTTGGGCCGTCCTCCACCACCTTCCCGGGTGCATTAGCAGGGAGCTGGATCAGAAGCAGAGCAGCCGGGACTTGAACCAGTGCTCAAAGGGGACGCCGGCGTCCCACGTGGCGGCTGGCCACAGCTCCCAGCATTTTATCCTTGGTGCTCCAGGGATGTCCTGAGATGTCCTGAGATGTCCCCCCGAAGCCGCGGCTGGGTGGCCTCCTCCGGGAGGTCGGGACACCGGGAGCTCTTCCTCACTCAGCCGTGCCTGCACAAGCAGCGGCCAGCTGGCCCCGGCGCCCGCATCCCAGCGCCAGCAGCTGCTCGGGCTGCTCCGTGCTGTTCCGGCCGCATTCCACCTGCAGTCCCTCTGCTCCTGGTCTGTCTGCTGTTGGCCAATCCCCTCTGCGGATGACCCGGTCTGGGAAGTGTCCCGTGGCTTTATCGCAGGGCGCCAGGGGGCACGGCGCCGTGCTTCTCCACGTGAGCCAGCCACGCGCCTGTCATCTCCACAGCCGCCTGCAGGAGCTCCTACCGCGTGCACTCGGTCACAGGTAACCTAACGCCGCAGCTGAAACTGAGCCGGGCCCGTGCTGTTTAACCAAACCACGGCACCTAAAACTCACTCACATCGAACTGTGCCGAACAAGGAGAGCTTGGTTACGTGCGCAGGTTTGTGCCCGACGATGCTTCAGGGGGCAGCAGCTGATTAGGGACTGGACCTGCGGCGGGGACTCGGAAGTCCCACCCAGTCTGGAGGTCGGGAAGCCGCGGGGTCGGACAGAAGCCGCTGGTGAGCTGTGTGGCTCCTGGCAAATCATTAAACCTTTCGGAGCGTCCTCTCTGCACCCGGGATGAGAGCAGCCGCGTCACAGGGCACGGGTGAGGAATGAGTAACACGCACAGAGCACTCGGTGTGCTACCTGGCAAGCGGTCAGACTGGATAAAGTCCGGGGCCTCGGATAGCCAGTGTCCGACAAATGTCACTACCGTTACGTAAAAACAGATCTGCGGGGGTGCGCGGTGGCGAGGGCGGCTCGGGTGCTCCGGCTGCAGGGCAGGGCTGTAGTCACCCCCCACGTGACCTTTCGCATCCTTCCAGCACAATGTCCAGGCGTGGAAGAGCTCAGGCCACCTCGCGGCCAGGCCAGGCCAGGGGCCTCCCCCAGCGCACACCCCCATCGGCCTGGCAGGGGGCAGGTGCACGGCCCCTGGGTGCCTGTCAGTGGCCCCACGGGGGCGGCCGTCAGCCGTGCCCACCGCCCCTTGGTTCAGCCAAGCAGGCTGTGTTGACATGGGACAGAGTCCAAAGCCACCTCGGCTTGGCTCCGCAGTCAGCCCGAATCCAGGTCGCCTCTAAGTGCCCTCCCCTCAGGAACACACACGCCCTTTCCCTCCAAGGAGACTTTGCACACCCTGGCGCAGGCTGTGTCCCTGAGCCCACTCAGATCCACCTGTGTCCACCCAGGCCCTCCACCTACTGTGCGCCTCCTCCTACTACGCGGCCTGGCCTCCAGTGCTAAACCTCCCAGCCCTCACCACAGCCTACTAGGCAGGGATTAGCGTCCCAAATTGAAGCTCACTCAACAGAGGGCGCCCTGCTGGGAGGGGTCCAACCTCCGGCTGCTGCCTCTACGAGCTCCCGTGCCCACAGGAAACCACCAGGCTCCTGGGAACAGGGGCTGCACCTGTCCGGCTTCCACCTGGTGAGGCAGCCGGCGCCGGCAGGCACAGCGAATGGAGACCCAGGCTGGCCCTGCGTCACCTAAGCCCACCAGGACAAGGGGAACATTTGCTTTGCTGCTTCTCACACTTGGTACCTGGGGTGACACGAGTGCCCCACTGGGCAGAACCGGCCGGCGTCTCGAAGGACACACGGCGTCCCTGGGCCCCAGATGCCAGGGAGCCTCGTTACTGAGACCACACAAACCCTGGCACCTCTAGAGAAGGGGGACGAGAGCGCGGGGACACCAGCTCAGCTGAGACCGGTCCACGACACGAACACCCACAGAAGAGCACGGCTTGGCTTGAGATGCCCAGCTCCGCCACGAACCGACTGCGGGCCCTGGCCCAGGTTCCTCTTCTACAACCCGCAGGGGGCCGGCGTTGGCGCCGCCGCCTATGACACTGGCATCCCAGAGGCGCACCGGTTCGTCCCGGCTTCCCCCTGCCTGCTGATGCGCCTGGGAACGCGGTGGAAGCCGGCCGAGTGCTTGGGCTCCTGACGCCCCTGTGGGAGACCCGGACGGAGCTCCAGGACCCTGGCTGTTGCAGCCACTTGGGGAGTGAACCGTGGACAGATCTTCTCGTCCTGTGTCTCCTTTTCTGTCAATTTGCCTTTCAAATAAATACATAAGTCTTTAACAAACAAACAGAAAACAATACAAGAGTCCGTGGGGGGCCGACTTTCAAAGTGCCCCTGCAGTGAGAGTAACATTTAAACACGTGGGGGGGAGGGGAGTGCAGGTGTAGCGGGTAAAGCCACTGCCTGCAGTGCCAGCATCCCACATGGGCACCGGTTCACGTCCCGGCTGCTCCACTTCCCATCCAGCTCTCTGCTGTGGCCTGGGAAAGCAGTGGAAGATGCTCCAAGTCCTTCGGCCCCTGCACCAGCACGGGAGACCCAGAAGCTCCTGGCTCCTGGCTTCAGATCGGCGCAGCTCTGGCTGTTGCAGCCACTTGGGGAGTGAACCAGCAGATGGAAGACCTCTCTCTGTGTCTCTGTCTATATGACTCTTTCAAATAAATAAATAAATCTTAATGGCATACTAAGGGGAGCCTCGGCCTGTGCGTGCCATATAGGTGCCAGTCCGTGTCCTGGCTGCTCCTCTTCGGATCCAGCTCTCTGCTGTGGCCTGGGAGAGCAGTGAGAGACGCTCTAAGTCCTTGGGCCCCTGCACCTGCGTGGGAGAACTGAAGAAGCTCCTAGCTCCTGGCTTTGGATCGGCGCAGCTCCCACCGGAGCCGGCAGAATGTGTCTCACTGGCACAGCCTCCAGTCACAGGCGCGACCCTGAGCCAGAGGCCCAGCCGGGGGCGTATGCCCGTCTTCGGTCTCTGCGTCTCATCTCCGAGTCACAGACTGAAGTCACTTCCCCTGTGCGCCCCGGAGGCAGCAGGTGACAGTCCAGGTGGGAGCCCCATGGAGTCCCAGCCCCAGCTGTCGCAGGCATGTGCGGAGGGAACCAGCAGACCTCTGTCTGCCTTTCAAATAAATAAAACGATTAAAAATATCTATTTTTAAGTCACTTCTTTGGGGAAGCCCCTCCCCCACCACGTTGTGCCCCCAACCCCAAGGCCCTGGGCTTCTGCCCCAAGGCGCCCGCACAGGGCCAGCTGCCGGGCTGTCTGCTGTCCTTGCTACACGCCAGGACTGGAACCGTGTGCCTGTCCCTTTCTCCACCAGGTCCTCAGCCTGGCGGCTCTGCCAGCACACAGCAGGTCCACAAAGCATTTGGGGCTGATGGTCCCAGGAAGAGACCATGGGGCCCAATGACCTCTCCCCAGAGCGGGGAGGGGGACAGGAGAGTGTGACCTGTGAGAACTCCTGGGGGCAGCTTTCCCATCCCTGGGCCTCACTTTTCCATCTGCAGAATGGGGCTAATCTGCAGGCAGCACGGAGCCCCAGGAAGAGCCTGCCCGGTGCCGGGTCCCAAGGTCGGAAGGGACCGAGCCCTGGACTCCATCCTGGACTCTGCTCCTTTCCACCGTCCACCCCGGCTAGCCTCCCGGACCTGTCCCCGTGTGCAGTCCACAAACTGTACAACCGACCAAAACAAAAAAACAAAAAGCCAGCTTCCTGGTGGTCTCTGTGGAGGGAGGGGATAAGCTGGGATGTGGGCATTCCCGTGTGAACTCTGCCAGCGCTCAGACTCCAGCTTCTCCACCTCCTCCGCGACACTGCCGAGCCCCCCAAGCCCGGGGACCTCCGGGGCCGTGCAGCCGAACCTGCGGGCGCTGCAGAGCCCCCCCAAGCCCGGGGACCCCCGGGGCAGACAGCTGAACCTGCGGGCGCTGCAGAGCCCCCCAAGCCCGGGGACCCCCGGGGCCGTGCAGCCGAACCTGCGGACGCTGCCGAGCCCCCCAAGCCTGGGGACCCCCGGAGCCGGGCAGCCGAACCTGCGGGCGCTCGGCGACGCCGCGGCCTCGTCTCACGCCCAGGGGTCCCCCCGGCCCGGGCACCACGCGTCTCGGCTCCCAGGCAGGCGGCGCATCTCCCCGCGCAACTGGGCGCCCACACCCGCACGGCCCGGGGCGCCCATCACACCAGCGCGGGGCTACCCGCTTGCGGGGTTCGGGAAGCCGCCCCAGTGAGCGCACCCCCCAGCACTTCTCCTTGCAGCCTGGGAGCTGCGGGGTCGCGGGAGCGTCCCGCCGGAGCTATGGAGCCGCAGCCCGGGGTTTCGCGCTCCTTCGTGGTGCGACCGTGGGAGCGGTCTGCTCTCTGCGCAGCGGTTCCGCACACCGATGGCATCAAACGCGTCCAGCGCTCGGCCACAACCAAGCCCTCCCAGCCTCGGCTCCCGGCCCCCGCGCCGGCAACTCACCCGCGCCGCCGCCGCGTCGCCTCCCGTCCGCTAGCACGCCCCGAAGGTTACGGCCGTGCCTGTCTCTTTAAGGGGGCCGGGCCCGGGCCCCACGACTTCCGCCCCGAAGCAACATGGCGTCGTCGCAGGGCTCAGAGCGGGGCGAAGCGCAGAGCGTTCCCCTCAAAAAGATGGAGGCGCCCTGGCCGCCGCGGTCGCGCCCGGCGGTGACGTCACTTCCGGGGCGGAGGAGGCTGAGTGGTGCAGTGAGGGACAAACAAAAGGAGGCGCCGGAGGAGCGCAGTGGCCGGCGGCGGGACGGAGCGGCCGGGGGCTCGGGCTGCCTGCTGGGCGGCCGGGTGCGGCGAGCCCAGGTGAGTGGGCGGGGTGGGGGGGAAGGGCGCGAGCTGTCATCTCCGGAAACCTCCTGGGACGCGCGCCCGGCCGGCTGCCCGGCCCCCGGCGCAGCGGGCAGCTCGAGCGCTGGCCGCCCGGAGGCCTCCCGCAGCCGCGGCGTTCGGCCTCCCTCCGTGCTGTCCGGCGCCCGAGTCCCCGGGGCCCCTCCCTGTCCCCGGCGCCGCGGCGCGCGAGCCCCCTCCCAGGCACCCCGGCGCCCACGTACCGGGTGTTTCCGCCGCGGCTCCCCGTGTCCCCTGTCATCCCCCGGGTGCCCCCAGATCCTCACCCCTCCACACACACGCCCCCCGGCCGAGAGGTTCCTCCTCGGTTTCCGGCCCCCTCCCTCCTGCTGGCCCCGCGTGGACAGTGCCCCGACGTGGTTCTGGGGCCTCTCGGGGCTGGGGGTCCGGGGAAGGCCAGCCAGCGCGACCCCTGCGCTCCGCATGTAGCCGGGCCCGAGAGCCAGACCCACGGCGGTCTCGGGGCCTGGTCCGGCCGGGGCTGAGCTGGAGGCCGGCCAGGTCGGGGCCCACGCGGCGCAGGAGCCTGGCGCCGGGGTCTCCGGGGCTCCTCGTGACTGCGCGGCCTCGCTGGCCCGGCCTGGAGCGGACTGAGATGGGCTGGCCCTTGGCTGATGCAACTCTTGCCTTTTTTGGGAAGGAGACTTGGGCTGGGGGTTGTCCTGCAGTCGCCCTGATTAGGACTGGTCTGTGGAGGTGCCCCTTCCCCCGCCCTGGGGGCCTTGTCCACCTCTTCTGTTACCCCCTGGCCGGTGGTCTGCGGATGCTGGCCACAGACACTGTGGGAAGCGGGTGGGGGTGGGGGGGAGGTCCTGCTTTGGGGCTGCCTCCCATGGGCAGGATGGGGCCGCCCCCCCCACGCCCCACCCCCGGGGCCGTCTCCCCCCCCCCCCCCCCCGCAGTGGCCGTGGCCCCTGTGAAGGTCAGCTATTGCTCTGGCTCTGGACGGGGGGCGTGGACAGGCGTGGGGGGATGCCGGGGTGGGTGGCGGGCCCCCGTCTGCCCATGCTTAGAGAGGGCTGGGGCTAGGCGTCCAGGGCTGGGGTTCCCCACTTAATCACCCTCCGGCACACCCACTAGGAAGCAGCTTTCTTTGTAGACTTAGAGGGGCCTCTCTGGAAAGTCGGGCTCCTGGGGTTGCCCTGTGCAGCCGCCTGGCTTAGCCTGGACCTGGCCTGCGGGAGTTGGCGGCAAGGAGCCACCTGGGTTTTGAGAACTTGGAGACGCTGAGGCGCGCGGGCCGTGGGCCCAGGCGCCGTGGGGGTTCAGATGGGGCAGACGCGGAGCCCCGGAGCCCGGCCCTCGGCCGCTTTGTCGTGGCATTCATTCATTCAGCCATCTTTTAGTAAGCGCCTGTCCTGGGCCAGGAGCGGTGCCGGGAAGACACGGGCCCTGGCCCTCTCCGAGCTGCAGTGTGGGCGGGGAGGTGCTCAGACCGGTGTAACCGAGGGGTACCACAGGGGCAGCCGGGGAAGGGGCGGTCAGAGGCCCAGCCTCAGTGTCCCCATCCTTGCTGAGGAGGGCGGGGCGGGGCGGGGCGGCCGTGGTGGCCATCACAGCAGGTGGAATGGCTGGGTCCCCGGCCTGTCTCCCTGGCAGGCCCTGTCCTCGGCCCTGTCCTCCCAGCCCAGTGCCCGGGAGCTGGAAGAAATGACCAGAGGATCCATGACCCCTCCCAGAAGTGCTGAGGTCCTGTGGCCTGCCCGCCTCCCAGCCCTGGCGGACTCCTGTCCATCCTGTGCCCTCCCCGGCGTCTGCCAGACCACCTGCTCCCCTGACCCTGCTGCACCTGCCAGCTGGGGTGAAGTTGATGCTCACTGCACACCTGTTGACAGGTGGATGACGGGCAGCTGTGGCTGTGCATCTGGGCAGAGCCTGCAACTGCCTGCCCCACCCCCTGTCCCCGTAGCTCCTCTCTGGCCACTTCCACTTGCAGCTCTAGATCTGGCCATGCTGAGCCACGCCTCATTCCCACACGCCACGCGAGGGGTGCTGCCCCTCCTGCCTGGGACAACGCTCTTTCCCCAACTCCTGTCCTCCTCAGCAGGTGATGTGGGCACCTCTTCCTCCAGGAAGCCTCCCTGGGCTCTCCAGATTGTAACTGCTAGCCTGGCCGCTCCTCAGGGGACCGACTTCTGCGGGGAGGGCTCCCCTGTCAGCCCGGAGATCGGCCCGGCGCCGGCACCCACCAGCTGTGGGACCGTGCTGGCAACACGGCAGGTAGCTCTGACAGCCACCACGCGGCCCGCTGACGACAGCTCTCGCTTCCTTCTAGGGAGGCAGCGTCTATGGAGCAAAAGGAATGCCAGGACCCTGCCCGGCCAGACGTGGGCCAGCCTCAGCGCCCACAGCCGACGCACAGATAGCAGAGCCGTCCTCCGGGTAAGACCGGGCCCCGTCCTGGCCCTCCCGCCCCTCCCGTCCCAGCCTCCACCACCTCCGGCGTGGGGAGCAGGGGGCAGTGCCTCTGTCTCCGTTGTACTTTGCTCTTCTCGCCGTGGGTCTGGGGGATCCAGACCAAAGGCGGCGAGGACAGAATTCTTCTCCCCCGTCCTGCTCCCGACCATGGGGCCGGCTGAGGCCTGTCTGGTGTCGTGCCCTCTGAATGCCAATGTTGTGTCATTGTGGACCTCTTATCAGTCCGGGTCGCTAATAGCGCTGCCCCATGACCGCGGCTCCCGCGTGACCGCGGCTCCCAAAGAGTGTTCCGTGGAGCAGCAGTCTCTGCTCACCATGTGAGGGATTTGGGGAAACAGCGGCGCATTGTCCTAGCTCTGAGGGCGGGAGAGAGAGCTGGTAGACCTGGACTCCGTAGCGGGGCCTGGGCCGGAGTCCAGGCTGGCCTGCGCTTGCTGAGTGCCCGTGGGCCTCGGTTTCCTCGTCTTAGGAAGGGGACAGCACTAAGGCCTGCGTCCCTGCAGGACGTGCTGAGGCACTTGGCAGAGTGCGCGCCCCAGGGTGCGGGGCCCGGTCACAGCTGGCGCATGCGGAGACTGATCCGCCTGGGTGTTGGAGGTGTGAGAAGCAGCGTGGTCCCCATTTAGAGACGCGGAAACCGAGGCTCGGCGTGCGGAAGCAGCTTGCCCACGCTCCTCAGGAGGGCAAGTGTGGAGAGACGTGGGCCTGGGGTGGGCCTGGCGTGGTGGGCCAGGGGCCTCTGCCCTCACACCCAGGTCGCCCTGCACCCACATCCCACCGCGGCTCCTGAGCCTCCCCTCCGAGATGTTTTTTTTAAGATTTATTTTATTTATTTGAAAGAGTTACAGAGGGGCAGAGGCAGAGAGAGAGAGAGAAAGGTCTTCCATCCGCTGGTTCACTCTCCAGAGGGCCTCAAAGACCTTAGCTTAGCAGATCGATAGCCAGGAGCCAGCAGCCTCCTCCAGGTCTCCCACGTGGGTGCAGGACCCAAGCACCTGGGCCATCCTCCACTGCCCTCCTGGGCTGCAGCAGAGAGCTGGCCTGGAAGAGGAGCCGCCGGGAAAACTGGGCACCCGTGTGGGATGCCGGCGCCGCAGGCAGCGGCTTTGCCCGCTACGCCACAGCGCTGCCGCTCCCTCCGCCCCACCCCTGTTGTGGGATTTTAAAGGATACAGTAATCTTGGTGGTGGTGGTGGTGGTTACCGACATGGTGGCGTGTTTGCTGCCTGTCTGTACCGTTTGGAGCTTTACCGTGAGACAGACAGTGAAAGCCCCCCCCCCCCCCCCCCGCCCCAGCGTCTCGGGTCTGAATGGGAGGAGTGGGTCTTCTCGCCTGCCGGCCTGTCGGCTGCTCTTCACAGAAGTCAGGTCGTGTGGGAGCTGCCCGGTTGCAGCTTGCTTTGGTCTGGTTTAGTGGTGTCCCCCAGACCTCTCTTCCCGGCAAGGGGTGGGCAGATCTGTGCCACCCCACCCCCACAGCCCTCCTGGTGACCGTGCTGGGAGTTGGCGGCAGCGGGGCGAGATGGGAAGTGCCTGGTGTGTGATCTGGTCGGCGCTCTTGTTTACTGGGACAAGGTCAGCAAACCCTGGCCCTGCCCGGTAGGGGCTTCCTGTTGCTTTCGAAGAGGCCTGAACTGCAGATGCTCGTGCCGGGTGCCGGGCAGGGATCAGGAGCCGCTGGGCCTCCTTATCTGAGATCTGAATTCCTGCCTGTGCCAGGGGCAGCTCGGAGGGAGTAGCGTGGGCCCCCGCCTGGGAGGTCCGGGCCTGCGCTGGCTGCCCGAGGGGGGCCCAGGCCGGGGGTTGGGAGGACACACAGGAGTCAGCTGGGAGCCCGGCCCCTCTGGGATGCTCAGGGTTCAGCTGGTCCTGACTCAGTTTACCCTTGCAGCATCCAGTGGAGGCTTTGGCCTTGGTCCTTTTGCAAAGCTCCTTTGGGTGGGTGGGTGGGTGGGTGGGTGGGTGACGGCAAGGGGGAGGAGGCCCCGCGAGCCGGGTCTGTGACGGGAGAGTGTCGTGGGCCGAGCTGATCTGGGCGTGAGGCCCTGCGGGAGCTGCTGACTTCTCCCTTCCCTGGTGTTCTCTGGGCTCACGGTCCTGCCCCCGCTCGGCCCTCTCCCACGTTCTTTGTCCCACCCTCCCCAGGAACCTCTTTCTGCTCCGTGGGACGCTGCCTGGCTGGGAGCCCCAGGCGTGCGCCCGACGCGCAGGTCCTCCTCCCGGGCAGAGGAGTGTCCTCTGTCTCTGTGTCCCTGGTCATCCTCGGCGCCACGCCCAGGGTGCCAGGCACCTGCTGGGGACTGCATGCCTCTGCCCACCTGACCCTTGCCACAGCCTCGCTGTGGGGTCAGTGTGTCCGTGACAGATGAGGGACCAGGTCTGTGGCCCCGGGACGCGGAGCCAGCTCTGTTGGCTTGGTGGCCTGCGCTCCTCTGCTCCCCCCTCCGTGGCATCGTTTCCTCTAATTCTCGGCCCTTCAGGGAGCTCCTTTGAAACGCTGTACCCACGGCCCGCCACCCGAGACCTGGGGGGTCAGCTCGGCAGGGCTGGGCCTGGGAGTGTGCACTGCGGAAGCTCCCCCAGCGCTGGGGAGGCTGGCGGGCTACAGACCACGCTGAGGGCCGCTGGCTGGAGTCCATGCCTTCACCCTGGTCCTTGGCTCTGCTGGACGAACCCCTGAGTGCCAGGAGCCCCGCCCGTGGGGGACAGAAGTGGGCTGAGCTCGCCGCAGGCCTGGGCCTGGATGTTGCTGTTCAGTGACTTCCTGCTGCGTGTGCGCGTGTGGACGTGTGTGTGCACGCATGCCTTGTGCACACGTGTGCATGCGTGACGGGGAGCAAGGGTTTGCCCTTCCCACGACAAGGCTGTGCTGGGCGCGGTCTCCGGGGCTTTTACTCCGACCGCAGACGCTCCCTGCTGGTTTCTCGCACCTCGCAGCGAGTTCTTGAGTTCTTCCACCTCTAGACGTCTCTTGAGGGCTCAAGACTTCAGAATTAAATTGCCCGCTGCAGCGTGGCCGCTGCCTGCGAGGACACTCCCCCGAGTGAGTGCCTGTAAGGTTCCGCAGCTTTCACACGCCACGGGGACACCGCGGGCACGCCTGCCGGGCCCCGCCTCCTGACATCGGATCAGCATGGCGGCAGGAGCCGGGCCCTAGGGGGCCGGGTCGGGCTCCCTGGGGCAGCCCCCTCCAGCCCGGAGCCCAGAGACAGGGCAGCAGGTGCTCCCTCGTGCCAGACTCCCTTGGTGCTTGCTGGCCGCTCGCCGGGCCTGGCCGGTGTCTGCGGCCCCTGTGGGTTACCCCGGCCTGTGTTTCATAACCCGTTTAGGAAGCAGCACTGGTGTTCAGAGCAGGTCAGGACCTGTCTCCAGGGCCCCTCTGCCCGCGGGGCCCAGACCTAGCACCAAGCTGGGCTGCCTTCCTGACTTTGCTCAAAGCGATGCCTGAGAGACCGGTCAGAGTCCAGCCTGCTCCGGCCCCTGAAGACGCTTTGTCTGCATGCGTCCCTCGGGAAAGGGGCAGTGGCATCTCCAAGGGCCTGGGTACCCTTGCAGAGGAGGGATTCAGGCCTGGGGTGGGTCTTCCCGCCACCTCTGGCTGTGTGACCCTGGGCGGGTCACCTCGCTTCCCTGGGCCTGAGACCTCACGCCCGTAAAGGGGCTGATAAAACCTCCCGTAATCTCAACGCTGCAGAGTCTGTGTGGCAGGCACTGGTCGGAGCTTCCCGCCACAGCCCTGGGAGGACCAGGTGCACCAGCCCGTTTTACGGTTGAAAGCAGGGCCCGGCCAGGCCGAGTGACTGGCCCGGGCCACACCTGGTGCGGCGGGGAGCCGCCTCACTGGCCTGCGTGGGGGTGGGAGCTGAGGCACAGGAAGTGCTGGGTGCTTGGTGGATGCCTCGCGCCCCACCTGCTGCCCCGTGTGGCCCAGGGGGTGTCCCTCGCTGTCACCCTCCCCTCCAGAAAGCAGGCTCCACCTTGCAGGTTTGCAAGAGGACCAGCGTGTTTGGGAAGCCCAGCCCCAGCGTGAGGCAGAGTGAGGCCGACACCGTCCCTCCCCAGGAAGTGAGGGTGTGCCCTTCTGTGCAGGGTGAGTCCCACGCCAGGCAGCACCCTCAGCCCGCAGCCGCTGACTCACCCCAGCTGGGTGTGGGGACCCGGAGCCCAGTGTCCCGCTCGGGGGCGGGGGCGGAGTGTGTGCGCCAGAGGAGGGGTGAGCCCTTTCCTTCCCCTCCTGGCGCTGAGACCAGAGGAAGCACGCGGCCCTGAGCAGAGCCACAGGCCTGGGACTCCCATGGGACTGGGCCGCAGCCCGGGGCCTGCCCGGGCCCCTGGGAACGGCGCTGCCCCCTTCCCGGGAGAGGGCTGGGCGCAGGGCGGGTGCCAGCCTCCCGCCTGGGAAGTTTTCCCTCTGGCTCTGTTTGTTCCTCAACAAAAGGTCCTCTGTGCCCTGTTTACCCGCTGCCTGCACCCGCCCGCGCCCAGGTGTGGGAGCTGCCAAATCTGCCACCGCGTGGGGTCGGGCAGGCTTAGGGGCGCCCCTGCGCGTAGGGGAGACAGCGTGTCATTTCTAGGGCACCCCGTGCATAGGGGAGATGGCGTGTGATTTCTGGGGCGCCCCTGCCTGTAGGGGAGATGGTGTGTGATTTCTGGGGTGCCCCTGCGCGTAGGGGAGACGGTGTGTCATTTCTGGGGCGCCCCTGCCTGTAGGGGAGATGGTGTGTGATTTCTGGGATGCCCCTGCGCGTAGGGGAGACGGTGTGTCATTTCTGGGGCACCCCTGCACATAGGGGAGACAGCGTGTCATTTCTGGGGCACCCCGTGCATAGGGGAGACGGCGTGTCATTTCTGGGGCACCCCTGCACGTAGGGGAGACGGTGTGTGATTTCTGGGACACCCCTGCGTGTAGGGGAGACAGCGTGTCACTTCTGGGGCACCCCGTGCATAGGGGAGATGGCGTGTCA